ATAATAACAATAATAATAATAATAATAATAATAATAATAATAATAATAATAATAATAATAATAATAATAATAACAATAATAACAATAATTATAATAATATTAATATTAATATTTATAATAATATTTATAATAATATTAATAATAATAATAATAATAATAATAATAATAATTTAGTGTTAACTAATAATACACCAAAATCTAGAACAAAAAAAAAAGATACTACTTTTTCATTCGAAATGTTTACTAAAGAATATGTACTATTACTTTGTTTTTTTGGCAGATACGATGAAATTAAACAAATACTTTCAACAACAGAGTGTATTATGCATTTTTTTAGGTATTCAAGAATACAGACTCCAAGGGGTATTTTTAATGAATGTTTTAAAGTTTGCTTCGAACGCCCATCCAAACAAAGAGAAAAACAACTATCCTATTTATTTTCTGATTTAATTACGGATGGTCATATACATTTATTTAAATTATTTGTCGCTCAATATCACAATGCATCAAAATTAGAAGGTAACATTGCATCATGGTTTTCAAGACAAAACATATCATATATGGTTAGAGCCAGCATCGAATACGGTCATTTAGAACTCACAAAATTTTTATTTAATTACATTCCAATGGATGGTTTTGAACATTATTTTGTTAATCCATCAATTATTCACGAAAACTTTAAAAAAAAATTTAACAAAAAAAAAAAAATTGGTTATAAAAAAAAAAATTAATCAAAAAATATAAATAAAATCAATATTTTTAGAAATCAATATATTTATTTTTTTTTTGTTTTTTTTTCAAATTTTATTTTTAAATTAAAAAAATAGGTTTTTTTTTTAATTCATTTTGTTTTTTATAAAATTTTCAAAAAACCCAAATAATCGAATTTTGACAAAACATATTTTTAATGATTTTCTATTTTTTTGAGTGATTTTTTTAAAAACTTAAAAAATCAAAATTTATTTATTTTTTATTTTATTTTTTGCATAAAATTTTTTTTTCTTTAAAATCAATGACTTGCAAATATTTTTTTAATTTTAATTTTTATCAAAAGTGAAAAAACATCAACTTTTATCTAATTTTATTATATGTTTTCGTCATCATCATAACAAAAACCAAACCAAATTTTTATTATTATAAATTATATTTCTATTCCCCTTTATGAAATGCGAGCTATGGCTTGATATTTAATATTTTTCCCAGTTGATATTAAACTGTTTTATTTTTTTAAAAATAATTTTTTGCATTTCATTTTTTTTTTTAAAAACTAAAATTTTTTTTTTTTTTTTCATTCATTTTATCAAACTAAAAACAAATAATAAATAAAATTTAAAATGTTAAGTAGGTGTTCAAATATACATTTTAATGATGATTATAATTACAATTATTGTTTTTTTAATAGCTTTGCTAAAAATTATGTTTTTTTTTTTTAAAATAATATAGCTTCTAATATGCATGTTCTCTCCAGCGTTGGTGTTTGGAATGATGAAAAAAACGCTTACATTGGCAGCATCGAACTACAAAAAGTTACATCCAATGTTGGTAAAGCCTATGAAGGTTTCCAACATATGGGTTCACAAACCTCAACCTATAACTATACTTCAAAACAATTAAGTTTTATTATTAAACAAAATGTAGGTTTTATTTAATATTCAATTATATATAATTAAATTAATATTGATAAATATAATTTTTAAAAATTTAAAATATAGGGTACTGAAAATAAATTCCTTCATTCAGTTGATACTACCACTTGGAAAGAAATTAACACATCATCAATCGGTAAAGATTACAACTATACTGGTTTAGCTTTTGACAATACCACTGATGCATTCAATTTATTTGGTACTTACACTAATGGTGATAATAATCTCCACGTTTGTAAAATCAGTCCAAGTGACCACGCCTCTAAAAATACCCACACTTTCCCAGGCGAACTCTGTTCAACATTCTTCCATTCTAAATTAAACACCTATTATGTATTCTATACCAAACCATCAAACCCAGAACAAATCTATGTTAATTCATACGATATGAAAGCCAGCCCAGTTAGTTTGGATCAAGCTTATGAAGTTAAAAATGTTGGTAAAGGTTATAAACCAATCCCATCAACCTTAAAAAATCTTGCATATATTCCAAACAAAGATTTAGTTGTTTGTAATATTAAAGTCGTATCAGATGTAAAAGAAGGTTCAGAAATTTTCCACATTTCAACTACCAACAAAACCATCACCAATTACGGCTGGAACGGCAGTGAAGGCATTTTAACACAAATCAAAACACCATTCGCTTTATTCGCAGATCTCAAATTACCAAGAATCTACCAAATCGTTCTTTATGCTGACACTTACAAATTATATACTTATAGCACATATAACAACAGATGGCAAGAAACTAAAAAATTCGGTATTGCCGTTACTTCCATTTGGGAAATTGAATCAAAATAAATAGTGTTCAATTTCAATAAAACAATAAATTTTTTATTAATTTTTTCATTAATTTTTCCTCTGTAAACTTTCAAAAGCTATAATAAAGATATATTTAAAGGTAAAAATAAAACATACGATAAAAAACAATCACATTGATAGATATATATATTTAAATAATTTTTTTTTATTTATTAGAATTTATATAAAATTTTATATGAAAATAGGATAAAAAAATAATCACCAAATATAAATATATAGGGATCATATTTATTAAAAACCATAAATTTATCAAAAGATTAAATAAAAATAAAAAGTTATTGAAATTTTTAAATTATTTTTATTCCATTAAATTGGGAGTTTAATTTTATTATCAAATTTTGTATGAATGAAATAATTTATATTGTTTATTTCATCAATTTAAAATGGAGGGTTTAGAAATTATAATTGGTACTGATTTTTAAATTGGTTAATCCTTCATTTACAATGGTAATTTTAACACCTTTATAATTATCTGAGAATTCTCCACTATCTTGAAAGTAATGACGTTTTGGTGGAAAATTAGTGGAAACAATTTGAACGGCACCTTCACCACCACCTTCAACTTCAACTTTGATAACTGTTAATTCATCTTTCAAAGTTGGCTAAAAATATGTTAGTTTATTTAAAATTAAATTATTTGAAATATAAAGAGAATATAATACCTACAATTTCACTTTTTGGTTCATTTGGTACTTGAGTCCATGGTCCTAACACTTTTATTATTTATTTCAAATGAAAAGATAAATTAATTTTTAATTTTTTTATTTTTTTTTTTTATAATTTAATTTTAATAATTACTTTTTATTTTTTTTATTATAAATATTAAAAAGAGTTTTAATTAAAATATATTTGAATGAATGAATGTTTTTTAAAAAAAATAGCTTGGTATTTATAATTAAAGTTTTTTTTTTTTTTTTTGTAATTTTTTTTTTAACGTTAATTTTTAATCCAATAAATTTTTTTTTTGATGTTAATATCATATAGAAATTGAGAGGTAGATAAAAAAAAACCACCCAAACATCTTTCAAAAAAAAAAAAAGGGGTTTGTAAATAAAAATAGGTTTTGTAGAAAAAAAAATTATGGTGTGGGTCAATAAAAAAATAAACCTCCAAAACACTTCACTAAAGTACAATCTGTTTTAAAAAAAATAAGTTTAAATTGTTAAATTAATAGGTGAGTTTTAATTTTTATCATCTTTTTATACTTGTTTAGCAAACTTAGGAAAAAAGTTATTTTTGAAAAAAATGATTGAAAAAATGAAGATAATGACAAACTTACAACTTTAAAAAAAAAAGATCAAAAAATGTTGGTAAACAGTTTATAAAAGTGCAAAATTAAAATCCCTAAAAATAACCAATAGTAATTTAATTTTAAATTCAGGTAAAAGAAGATAAAATTTACTTAAATAAAACCCATAAAAAATTGGGTTTATGAAGTGTTTGGGTAGTTTTTAAATTGTTTCACTTACAAGCAAAAAAAAAAAAGAAGATAAAATTTAATATAAAAAAAAAGGGGTTAACAGAGTGTTTTTTTGGAGATATAGTTAGTTATTGGATAAATTTTTAAAAATCAAAATCCAAAATTCCATTTTTTCTCATGTAATATAGTTTATTTTTGTATATATATATTTTCTATTTTTATTTAATAATTTATATTGTTGTAGAGAATTGTAATTTGGTTTATTTGTGTTTAAATTATTATTGGAATAAAAAAAAATAAAAAAAAATATTTATTTTTTCGATTTTTTTTTATTTTTATATTTGTGTGTGTATATATTCTATTTGAGATATTTATATTATTTATTTTATATAGTTTTGTAGATAATAATAGTTTTAATTTATTTATACTAAAATTAAATTTTAATAAATGAAGAATATTGATTTTTTTAAATAAATTGAAAAAAAAAAAAAAAAAAAAAAAAAAAAAAAAAACTAATTTATATATAAACTCTTCATTTATTATATTTTTTAAATCGTTCCATTATTTATAAATATATGTATCTTTTACTTTTGTACTCAAGAGGTTTTATTTTAAATAAAAATGATCAATTTTTTAAAATAAAAAAAAAATTAAAAAAAATTTAAATCAAATAAGTGAATATGTAAAAATGGTTTAGAATTAAAACCAACAAATTTTATTTTTATATAATTTTTAAAATATTTTTTTAGACAAATTATTTTTTTTATTATTTCGATTTTTTTTTAAAATTTTTTTTTTAAAATTATAACCATTACAATTATCAACAACTTTATAAATGAATACTATCAATAAAAGAAAGGCAATCAATGAATTAAATCAAAGTCGAGGAAAATTGTATTCCAAAAAGCTATTTACAAGTTTTTTATTGAAAAACAAACTAATAACCTCTTCTAATGATACTCCATGTTTTTAGTTGATAGTGATATGTATGCAAGACCTGAAAATAAACACTATGGAGTATCATTTGGAATTGCAGGTGAAATGAGTGATATTAGTTTTGATTTGGTAGAAGGAATTAAAGCTTGCACCCTTGATGAAACAATATAAAAATAGACCTTAGATTCAGACTCAAAAGAGAAATATATTCAAGATAATTATAAACCTCCAATTTTGTGTATACCTCGTAAACCTCATGCAAATGGTCTTTTAAGATAAATGGTTGGAACCTTTTTAGAACTTATTCATCATTTGTCATCCCCTAAAAAAAGCCCAGTATCACAATCTAAAAGAGGGTCTGTTAAAGAATTCTAATATCCTTATATTATAGAGTTTTTAAACAAGTTAGATAATGAAATTAATCACTCATGTAGTGTTGATTATGTATTAGAACGTATAAAGATCTTAAATTTCATTTAGTTGGTGATAGTGCATTTTTTTCCAAAGATAGTTTAAATCATTTTGTAAATAAAGGTTGGTTGGCAACAATTTCAGATTTCTCAATAAATATTGCAATATTAACAGATTGCTCAGAGATACATTAAAAGATTATAGGAGTTGGGCTTGATGGTTATTATAAAGTCTGTAAAATTGATGAAAGGGACGAAAAAGTTCCTACATTTAAATCAATTGCAACCACTGGTTTTAAAATCAAAATCGTGAAGTTAATCCAAGCAAAGGTTCTAATAATAGTGATGCATTGGATCTTTATAAATTAAATAATTCAACTTTAAAGAAATTATGTTTAGGTTTAGGTGTTTCAAGATCAAGTAGTAATAAGAGAATGGTTATGTTAATTTGTGGTATAGATCCATTATCTCATTCAACCAACCCAAATTCGTACTCATTATTATCAGAAGCAATTCAAAAAGATACTTTAAAATCATATTCATTGGTTAAACTCAAAAACTTACATCAAAATTTTAATTTACCAGCTCCTGCTCAATTAACATGTGAAGGTTACATTTTAGCTAAAATTTATTTTTTATTCATCTTCAAGTCCTGTATTTTAACTACTTGTCATCTTTTTTAAGCTCAATCATATATAATTTCTTTATTGTAATAAAATATATTAAAAATCCTCTTAACAATATTTATGTATTGCTCATAATACCTTTGTTTGTTTATTGTATAAATTTGCAGTTTTTATAGAGCCAATATTATTTTTTTTGGGTGTGTATATTTTTTTATTTTTCTCATTTATTTTTTTTTTTTTCTTATTTATCTATAATCACAAAATTTCACAAGGTTTGACACTTTCGATAAATGCGATTTGCGCAGTGTAAACAAAAAGTCTAAAAAAGCAAAAATAAAAAAAAAATATAAAAAAATAATTTTGTTAAAGTGTCAAAAAAATCTGTTTTTTTTTTTTTTTATTTTTTATTTATTTTTATATTTTTTTTGAATTTTATTTAAATTGTTTTTTTTTTTATAGTTATTTTTCTATTCATCCTATAAATAAAAATTAAATAATTATTGTTTTATATTTTATTTTATTTATATTGTATTATATTGTATTATATTGTAGATTATTGGTTTAAAATAACTTTTGTTTTATTTTGTCAACATATTGTAATACCGCAATAAAAAAATGTCAACAGCAACAACAGCAAATGTACCAAGAACATTAAAGATTGTTATTATTGAAGGTAAAGAGTTAAAAGGTCTCGATTCAGGTGGTGTCTCAGACTGCTTTTTAAAATTCAAATGTAACAATGTTTCTGCCAAAACTGAAGTTATTAAAAAAACAACCTCACCAATTTGGAAACATATGATTAGTGTGTAAGTATACAATTTTAAAAAATACATATAAAGTTTTATAATATATATGTTAATATTAATATAAATATTAATTAATCAGTGGGCCAGTTGAGGATAATAGTTTATTATCATTTTTTGTTATGGATTGGGAAAGAATAGGAACAAGTAGACCAATGGGTAAAGTAGAAATTCCATGTTTGGAATTAGCAGCAGGTGCAAAGAGAAATCAACATGATCAATGGTTGAGATTGGATACTAAGGGTTTTATTAGAGTTAGTTATGAATTTTCACCACCATATCCATTAGAGGTTGACCCAGCCGAACCACCACCACAATCATTTATTAACCAACCAGCAGTATACTTTAAACCAATCTATTTACCAACTTTTCAAACCGAAGTGGTTTCTACTGGCCAAACCACAGCTAAATTTATTATGCCAGGTTCCGTGTACCATAGTAGATCTTTTATTGCAGGCGAACCAGTTAATTGCTCATTGATAATTAATGTATTGGAACCAAGAATTGTAGTTAGATCTTTAAACTTAACATTTGATGGGTCAGTTACTTTTAGAGGTAAAAAGCAAAGAAAGCTTGTCAATGACTATAGAGATCTTCTTTTGGGTTATGGTGAGCTAAATAATGTTTCCGCAGCCAACAGAGGTCATTACCACAAGATTACTTTAGAACGTGGTAAACACATCTTCCCATTCCAATTCTTTTTAGACAAAACATGCAAATCAACAGTGCAAATGGTCAATGGCTATAGTGTTTCATATGGTTTATACTTTAGTGCCGATATTGTTAACCAACCAGATATTGGTCTTTATCAAGAAATTAAAGTTGTAAATTTAGAAGACACTGTTTATAAAATGACCGTATCACCAATGAATGGCTCTGCTTCAAAATCACCACTTACCGGAGGTAATATATCGATGAATGCAAAATCTGTAAAGAATAGTTTCTATCCAGGCGAAGAGATTGAATTAGAAATGGATATCAACAACACAAGCAAAAAGAAGATCAAAGCTGTCGATATTGTGCTCCAACGTTTAGACTACAGTGGCACCGATACCACTCCTCTCTATACCAATGTACTTACAATGACCAAAAAGTGTTACCCAAAAATCAAACCAAACACCCAACGTAACATGATGACTGTTATAGAGTTACCAAATAGCCAGCTTATGGTCCCATCCATTTCAGAAACTAAAATGACTAGAATCGAATACCAATTACTTGTAAATTTAGATATACCAAACTGTGTTGATCTTCGTTTGAAATTACCCGTAGTAATAGTACAACCAGACCCAAAGCTTGAATATCTTCCAAATGCCCTCACTGAAATTGGTGATATACCAAGATATATCAACAATTGGACCGTTCGTCATTTCCACAGTTGGGTTCTTTTCAAGATGCAATGTCCAGATGTTATCAAAAACAACCCAGAGTTTTACCAATACCATTTAAATGGTTTGGATTTAATGAAATTAAATAACGATACCCTTTTTAATATATTAAAAGGTGCTGGTCCCAGAACACAGGAATTAGTTAGCGATCTACAGGTTCAAATTTTCCAAATCCAAGCAGTTAGAGATTTATTAAAAGAATTACAAATTCCAAGTTTTATCGAAACCTTTGAAAAAGAATCGATTACCTTTGAAATCTTACCATATTTAACCTATAATGATATTTTATCACTAGGTTTACCAATTGGTGATGCTAAAAGATTGGAAATTAAAATTAAACAAATTAATCAACAACAACAATATTGTGATATCAACAATAAACAATAGTTTTTAAAAATTAATCAATATTGTTTCTTTCTACATAGTTTGAATAATAAACCACAGTTTCAATTTTTTTTTCAAATCTTTAAAACAAAAAAAAGACCAACTATAAAATCATTTCGAAACCTATTGTAATCCATAAAAAAATAAAAGATCTAATTTAATGACATAAATTTATAAAATACAATTAAATAAATATTTTTTTTTTTTTTCATTATTATAGTTAATAAGCTATCATTCCTTTAAACTTTGATAATTGTTCGATAGAATTATTGGATTTATAATTGTATATGTAAAAAAAAAATTATATTTATATTATTTATATTTTATTTAAAAAAAACCTTTGTTTTGTAAATATTCAAATAAACTTTTTAATTGTTCATTGGCTTGGTCAGTTTCTATTAAGGGCGAATACATTCCCAACAAAATAACACTCTCTTCAAGAGTTGGGTTCTATACATTTTTAAAAAATTAAAGAAAAATAAATCTTAATAAAAAATAATTATAACCTTAATGATTTTATACTTTGAATGATTCTTACCTTTATTTTAAATATACACCCATTTTTATATTCTACATCTAAATTTCTATAAGTACTAATTTTCGATACCATACAACGATCTGTATGTCGAAAATCATAGCTATTTCCATCAATTTGATAAGAATATTTAGGCTTGGTAACTACTCTGCTTAAATCTATAGCTTCATTTTCTTTAATTGAAATAGTTGAGAAAATAATTTTTTCATTCCTTATAAAGGTTATTCCTAAGAATCCAATTGATTCTAAATACTCTGATTTTTTCTAATATTAAAAAATATTAATATTAAAAAATATTAATATTAAAAAAAATTTATAAATAGATAAATATATACTTACTTTTAATGTACTACTTAATGACATATTTTATATATTAATTATTTTTTGGATTGAATTAAAAAATTGTGTGTGTGATTTATATAAAAATTATTTCCATTTTATTTCTTTTCTTTAATTTTTATCAAAATGTAATATATCTTTTTTTAAAAAAAAAAAAAAAAAATTTATTTTTTTATTTAAATATTTTTTTTTAAAGGTGATTATTCAATAACAGGTAAAATTTATATAATGAATAATTTTTTTATTGTAATTTTTTTATTTTAATTTATTTATATGAAGATATCTTTTTTATTATTATAATGAAGTATATATTGATATTTGATTAAGAGATAATTCTCTATCAGATATCATAGATATACGACAAAAATGAAAATAATTTTTTTTTTTTTTGATTTTTTTTTTTTTAAATAAAAAATTAATACATACATCTTATGCAACCATCTTAATTTTTTTTTTATTTTTTTATTTTTTTTTTTTTTTTTTTTAATTTATTTTTTTAATTTATTTTTTAATTTTTTTTTTTTTTTTGTGCAATAATTCATTTTATTTTCATTACAATTTCTATTTATGAATATTTTTTTTCTGTGGTATTTATTTTATAAATAATAATAGTTTTAAATTAACAAAATAAATAAATTTATAAATTAATAAATTAATAAATAAATAAATAAATAAATTAATAAATAAATAAATAAATAAATAAATAAATAAATAAATAAATAAATAAATAAATAATAGTTTAATAATTTAATAATTAAGAAAAATAAAAAAGAAATGAGTGGATTCGTTAATGATTTATCTCAACTTCAAAAAAATGAATTAATCAAATTTAATGAATATTTAGATGAAAATATTGAGCAAATTAAAAAAGATATCGAATCTAAATTAAATACACCATCATCACCAACTACAACATCCACACCACCAGAATCAACAACTACAACTACAACTACAACAACAACAACTACTACAAATCAAATTAGTGAATTAAAAATTTGGTCAGTTAATTTAGAAAAACTATCAAATCAAAGAGATATTGTTTTATTAAAATTTTTAAGAGCTAGAGATTTCAAATTGGATGCAGCTAAACAAATGTTAATAAACTCACTTGCATGGAGAAAACAGTTTAATGTCGAAAATATTTTAAATGAAGAGTTTCCAGAATACTACAAGGAGATTGGTGAAATTTGGACCAAACCAGATATCGACGGTAGACCAATTATGGTAAATTATTATCACAAGATCAATCCTGATGTCGTATTTAAAGATGGCGTTAGCCAATTTGTCCGTTGGAAAGTTCAGCAGATGGAAAGAGCAATTCACGATACCCTCATACCATCGAATTGGTCAATAGAAGATTTAGTTGTCATTCACGATTACAAAGATGTTTCAATCTTTAGAACAGATTCAAGAATAAAACAAGCATCTAATCAAACTATTACTGCATTACAAGATAACTATCCAGAGTTACTTGCTAAAAAGGTATGATTTAAAAATAATTAGATTATCTAATTTTATATATTAATATTTTTTTTATTTTTCCAAATTAGTTTTTCATTAATATTCCATGGATTTTAGAAAAACTAGTATCTGCTTTCAGTATGCTAACTAGTGAAAGAACAAGAAGCAAATTCATTATTTGCTCAGGTACCTATAGAGAAAAACTATTAAAGTTTGTCGATGTCGATAATATTCCACAAAGATTAGGTGGCTTTGAAGATAATAGTATACAAATTCAAGTTGTTAAAATCGAATCACAAAAGAACCATATTATTGACTTGGGAAAGTTGGACTCTGATAAAACTATTGAATGGGAATTTACATCCAAAGTTTTCCAAAAGGATTTATCAGCCAATATTATTTCTTCAATTAATGGTAGTGGCAGTAGCAATAATATTACAATTGAAGGAACCTCACCCTCACCCTCACCCTCATCCCCCTCATCCCCATCATCCCCATCAAACATTTCCAACAATATTCTACTTGCCATTAAACCAAAAGAATTTAACAGTGGTTCAATTCAAATCGAAGATGATGGTTATTATAAATTCAGCTTAAAGAATCATTTTAACGAACCTGTTGAAATTCATTATCGTGTTTGCACCAAATCTAGATTAACTCAATCTGTAAATTTAATTTCAAAAGATTTAGAAAACACCAAAATCGAAAAAGACAATCAAATCATAAATCAATTGGAAAAAGAGGACCAAGAAAAACTAGATAATCAAGAAAAAGAAAAATTGGACAATGATCATGTTGCTTTAATTTAATTCAATAAAATTCAATAAATAATATCCATTTAGAGGACTAATATTAAAATCGAATTATAGTAATAATTTTAATTGAGTATTTTTTTTTTTTAACGAATTTAATTTTTTTTTTTTCTTTTTTTTAATTTTTTTTGATTTTTTTTTTTTTTTTTTTTCAAATTTTTTCATTTTTTTTTTCATTTATATAATTTTTATTTTATTTTTAAATTATTCTAAATTTAAAAAAAAGGATCTCTATTAAGAATGTCATTTAATAATAATAACTTCAGAGGACAATCTAGAGGCAATAGAGGAAACTTTAATAGAGATTCGGAAGATGATTTCAAATCAAAACTTACATCACTCATTGTTAGAATTGGTGATAAAGCTACAAGTAGTTTAGAATCAAATATTGAAGCATTAGCTAATGCATTATTAGCTGATATTCCAAAGCATGGTACTTTAATTCAAGATATTTTATTCAAATGGTAAATATATATATAGTATTAAATTACTAAAAATTAAAAATATTTTTACTTATATTTATTTATTAACTTTTTTTTTCATTAAACTAGTATTTCACAATTAACTTATAAAGCACCAGTTTATGGTACATTAGTTGGTTTAATTAATGCTAAAAATTTTGAATTTGGCAAAGAAATTGTTTGTAGACTTGTAGATGAAATTTTAAGTGCATTAAATAAAAAGAAATTCATCCAAGTTAAACTTTTAATTAAATTTATACCAGAACTTGTAAATGCAAATGTTTTAAGTGTTCAATCAATTTTCGAACTCTATGAATCATTATTATCAATTCTCAATACATCAAGTTATACTCAAAATAAAGCTGATTTCTTTGTTTATTTAGTTTTATTAACCATTCCACACGTATGTATTAATTTATTTCAAAAAGTGTTTTTATTAATAAAAAAAATCGATTACTAATGTTTAATTTTTACTTTTAGATTGGCGAACTTTTATCAAAAAATCATTTTGGTCAAATAAGTGCAGTTATCGAAGAATGTGAATCATATGTAGAATCAAGATCAACTAGTGATAAGAAATTTTATCAATCATATAATAATGGTCTAAGTGATGATAAATTAGAAACCCTCTTTAAACAAATTAAAAATCTTAAAAATGATCCAGAAAATCCTTGGGTTGTTAATTCAATTTTAAAACCATGGAAGAACTTTACCGAACAATTACTAAACCCTGAAGTTCAACAACATATTTTACCAACAATTAATTTTACAGATGACGATGTATGTTTTAAAACTTTTAAATACCAATTTTTTAAAATAACTAATTTTTTTATTTTTTCTTTAGTCAATCGAATATCCACAAAATTTAAATAAACCATTATTCAGATTATTTAATGAAGATCAATATATATCAATTGAAAAATCAATCGTTCAAGAATATATTTTAGATATTTTATACTTTTTCAACTCTGATCACAAAGAAGCAGCTAAATTTATTTATTCATTACCAGTGCAATTCGAAATCGATGATGTTGTAGTTGAAACATTATTTGGGGAAATGTTTTTATTACCAGAACCAACCTTCAAAGTTATCTATTACAGTGTAATATTCATCGATTTCTTCAAATCACAACCATCAGTTATTCCAGTATTTGCCTATGCTATCAATTTACTTTTCGAAAACATCGACAAATTAGATTTTGAAATTATGGATCGTTTCGCTTTAGCATTTGCTCATCATCTTAGCAACTTTGATTACAAATGGATTTGGAGTGATTGGGCACAAGCACTTCAACCAATTAACCCAGAGAACCCACCAATGGTCGAAGGTGCCACAATAGAAGATTTAATTAAATTACAAAACCTCAAGATTATCTTTATTAAACGTGTAATTCAATCACTTTGCCGTCTTTCATATTTAGATAAAATCAAACAAAACTTACCAGCTGACTACCATCAATACCTTCCACCAGCTCCAAATCCAAACTTTAAATTCCTTTCATCTGAAAACCCAGAAGAAGAAAATAAAGAGTTGGTTAGTCAATCACATAAACTTTTACTCTCATTCAAAACTAAAGAGCCATTAGAAAATTTAATTCAAACTTTCTCTGCCATTCCATCAAGCATCAATTGTGTCGAGCTTTTAACTAAATGTATTCTTCAAATTGGTTCCACTAGTTTTTCCCATTTAACCTATGCAATCGAAAGATATCTCACCCTCTTTAAAACAGTATTAAAATCTCAAGATGATCGTCAAGAATGTCTTCGTTCAATCTTTGAATTTTGGAAATATTCACAACAACACATTGTTATTGTAGTCGATAAATTTATCACCTTCAAAATCATCTATCCTATCGATACTGTCACTTGGTTCATGAAACCCGAAAACATCAGTCGTTTCATTACCGAATCTTTCACCTGGGAAATCCTTCACAACTCGATCCAAAAGACCATTATCGTCATTGAAACTCTTTCTTTAGACCTCGAAGAAAATCAAAGTGAAGAAAAAGAATTTAAATTAAATACCTCAATCAGCGAACAACAATTATTACTCTCTGAATTAATTAAAGGTATTGGCTCGATACTTTCAAACGATAAAAATTCTCTCAATGACTCTTCAAAACTTTTAATTGCTGGTCAATTAAAATCTATCACAAGAAAATACTTTACCCAAATTAAACCAGTTTTACAATCACAACCACAATTATCAAATATTATTAATCAATTTACCCAATAATAATAAAAATCATAAATAAAAAAATAAAAGAAATCTAAATATTTTTTTTTAAAAAAAACACCCACTTTTTAAGAATTTTCTCTTAAAATTAAAGTATTTATTATACTAAAGTTTAATTTTAATTTTAATTTTAATTTTCTTCGTTTTTTTTAATTTTAATATAATTTTTTTTTTTTTTTTTTTATTCCACAATAAAAACTATTTTTTTTTTTTTTTTTTTTTAATTTTTTTATTTTTTATTTTTAATTTTTTTTTTTTTGATATTTTATTTTATTTCATTTTTTTTTAAAATTTTATTAATAAACATTGTGTTTTATTTATAAAATATTATAATAATGACTGATACAAATACTACACCATCAACTGAAACTAAAGAACAAATTGTTACACCATGGGAAGTTGAAGCTAGTGCAGGTGGTGTCGATTACGATAAACTCGTTAATCAATTCGGATCAACTAGAATCAGCGAAGAACTTATCGCTCGTTTTGAAAGAGTCACCGGTAAAAAAGCTCACCACTTTTTACGTAGAGGAATCTTTTTTTCACATAGGTAAATTTCAAATAAAATAGAAATAGTATATGAATATTATTTGGAATGAATAATATTTATTAATAATACCAATAAACTACAAGATAATTATCATAACATTATAATGTAAGCTTTAGAGTATTAATATTTATTTATTTATCAACTTATTTAGAGACTTAAAAGAAATTTTAGATCATCACGAAGCAGGTAAAAAATGGTATTTATATACAGGTCGTGGTCCATCATCAGGTTCATTACATTTTGGTCATTTATTACCATTCTTATTCACAAAATACCTTCAAGATGCTTTCAATGTACCATTAGTTGTTCAAATGACAAATGATGAAAAATTCTTATGGAAAGGTATTACCATTGAGGAATCAATTGAATATACCCACAACAATGTTAAAGATATTATCGCTTTAGGTTTTGATGTTCAAAAAACTTTTATTTTCTCAAATTTAGATTACATTCAATATCTTTATCCAAATGCTATTAAAATTTCAAGATGTGTTAATTTAAATCAAGTAAATTTCAAATATTATTTTAGATTTTAATTTTTATTCATTTACTAATTTTTATCATATTTTTTTTTATATAGATTAAAAATATTTTTGGTTTCCAAGATAGTGATGCAGTCGGTAAATTTACTTTCCCACCAATTCAAGCTGCACCATGTTTCCCAGATTCATTCCCACATATATTTGATCCAAAAGATCCAGAAATTAAAGCCGTACGTTGTTTAATTCCATGTGCTATCGATCAAGATCCATACTTTAGAATGACTCGTGATGTTGCACAACGTTTAGGTTACAACAAACCATCATTAATTCACTCTAAATTTTTCCCAGCACTTCAAGGTCACAACACTAAAATGTCAGCATCAGATTTAAATTCAGCAGTTTATCTCAGCGATACACCACAACAAGTTAAAGATAAAATTAAAAAACACGCCTTCTCTGGTGGTGGTGCTACTAAAGAAGATCAAGAAAAATATGGTGCCAATTTATCCGTAGATATCACTTATGAATACTTAACATTCCTTTTAGAAGATGACGATCAATTAAAAGAAATTGCAGAAAAATACTCAACAGGTAAAATGTTAACTGGAGAAATTAAACAAATTTTAATTGACATTATGGTTAAAATCATCGCCAGACACAAAGAAGCTAGATCTAAAGTTACCGATGAAGTTTTAAATTCATTTATGTCAATTCGTAAATTAAATTTTTAGAAAAAAAAAAAAATAAATAAAAAAAGGGTAACATTTAAAATAATAAATAAAAACAACTTAATATTAAATAATATTATATTTTATTTTATTTAATACAAAATAAAATATGGGTATTAAAATATTTTTCTTTTATATTTTTTTATTTGAATCAGATTGATTTTTATGATTGATTATATGAATATAAAATTAGGTTTTGGGGTATTTTTTTGGTACTCGAGAGGATACAGCCAAATTACAATTTAATAGAGTTTTTATAGCAAAAAATCAATGATAAAGAGCAATTTACAAAATATCAAATATCCAAGAAAAAAAAAAAAATAAAAAAAAAATAAAAAAAAAATAATTTTTTGAGATTCCTGTGTGATTTTTTTTAAATAAAAGAATGAAGGGTTTAATATCAATCAATGATATAGATAATTATTTTTTTATTTTTTTTTTTTTATTTTTTTTTTTTTTTAAATATTTATAGTTTAAAATTTTTTTTTTTTTTTTTTAACAAATTTTTTAGTATATATAATAATAATCTTTACTTTATTATTAGATGATAATAGTTTTTTGTATATAAAATGTTAAAAAAATATTCGTGGGTCGAAATTTCAAAACATAATAATGAGAGTGACTGTTGGGTAGTTGTTAATGGTATTGTTTATGATGTTACTAAATGGTTACCTTGTCATCCAGGTGGTAAAGATGCTATTTTACTATCTGCTGGTAATGATATAACTAATTTGTTTGAATCATACCATCCATTTACAAACACACCCAATAGTTATTTAAAACAATATGAAATTGGTGAAATCTCAGTATATGAGCACCCAAAATTTGTAGAAAAGAGTAAATTTTATTCAGTGTTAAAGGAAAGAGTAAGAAAGCATTTTAAAGATACCAATCAAGATCCAAAAATTTCAATAGGTATTTTATCTCGTTTAGCTTTAGTATATCTTTTGATATTTGTTTTTTATTATTTTGCACATTTATACAGCACAAATTTCTTTTTCAATTGTATAATGTCATTTTGTTTTTCTATTAGCATGTCCTTATTGTCTCTTCATATGATGCACGATAGTTGCCATTTTGCTCTTACCCACAGCCCCATATTGTGGAAGCTCTTTGGTGCTACTTATGACTTATTTGTCGGTGCTTCTTTCTTTTATTGGTCAAACCAACATGTTGTGGGCCATCATGTTTATACTAATATTAGAAATGCTGATCCAGATATCGGGGACAGTGAAGTCGAGTTTAGAATTGTAACACCATATCAGCACCGTTATTCTATTTACCGTTTTCAACATATATATGCACCTCTTCTCTATGGTTTATACTCGATAAAATACCGTTTGTGTGACTATACAGCTTTTATTGATGGTTATATAGGAAGAATACGTTGTAAGAGACCCACTAGTTTCGATATAGGAGCATTTATAATTGGAAAAATATTTTTCCTTTATACTAGATTTTATTTACCTCTTCAAATTCATAGTTTTTCAAATTATATTGTTTATTTCTTTATTGCGGAGTATTTCTTTGGGGCATATTTATCATTTGGTTTTCAAGTAAGCCACTCTGCAGATGAATTAAAAATTTCCGCCACACCAAGATTACCAGAAGAACAGGTAGAAATAGGGGAAGATTGGGCTATTCATCAACTTAAAACCACATTAGATTATGGTGCAGATTCATTACTATGCCATTTTTTCTCTGGAGGTGTAAATTTGCAGGTAATCCATCACTTATTCCCTTCTTTAAATCAAGAGTATTATCCACAAATTGTTCCAATAGTGGAGCAGCTCTGTAAAGAATTCAATCTAAAGTATAACTATAAAGATACTTTCACAGAAGCATTAGTTTCTCATATTAAATTTTTATATAAAATGGGGAATGATCCAAATTATATTCGTAAACCCTATACAAAAAACGATTAAACTTAATAAATAAAATTTTATTTGTAATATATTTCCAAATTAAAATTAATAAAAATTTAATAAAACCAAAAATCATTGTTAATTGTATTACCTATTTATTGCTTTTACAAATAAGTCAATAATTAATCCTTCAACACAATTTTTTTTTTAATAGTGGAGATAATTTTTAATGATAAATAATCCAACATTCATTTTTATATTTGAAATTTGATTAAAGTTATTAGTTTTTTTATAGTTAGAGTTGCTGATTTTGTTTTAACTGCTAAACACGAATTTTTGACTTACCCCTTCAATAAGAATGGCCCAAAGGTTAACACGACTTTTATTAATTTATTTTTAAAAGAATTTTTAGTAATTTAATTTTGATTATTTAATTTTAGTTATTTAATTTTTATTTGTAATTCATCGATAAAGTTCTGTAGCTTTCCAGGTGTATAGGTTTTTTACCCTAAATTTATCTGAATTCCATATCTTGCTGAAGAGTTCCAGAGACGAACAGATTTTCGAACCTTGTAATAAAATGCATTATGCACAACTAAGGCGTGAGGTGACCAACTAGCAAAAGGGAAATTTCTTAATTTATACTATTAATTTCAACTCCTAATTTAAAATTTCAAACCTAATGAGATCTTAAACTAGCACCTGTAATGATACCTCATAAAGATAATGAAAGTTTTCAAATAATAATTCTTAAAATAGTAATAAGAAGTTTTATAATAATATCTCTTAAAATAGTAATAATAAGTTTTATAATAATATCTCTTAAAATAGTAATAATTTTCCATTTATAATATATTTAGTTGAAACTGTCACATGTTTAACATATATATACATTCATGTCAACTTGTTTATGATAGTATAAATACTTCAGTAATAATTCTTTATTAATGACTTATATATTAAATATTAACTTCTAATAACAATAACAATTAATAATATAATAACTAAAATACTTAAATAAAGGTTTCTAAACTATATTTCTATTATAACTATATTTCTTTATTAAACTTAGTAATATTCCTGTAACTCCGAGTGGAGCTCTAACTGTAACCATCTTTCAGATAGGGGTTCCATCACAATTGGCGACAACTGCTCAAAAAAAAAGGAAAGGATTAGACAGCTTCTAGAAAAAAGAAAAGAGATAAAGGCTAAGGGTTAGACAGCTGCTCAAAAAAAAAAAGGAAAGGATTAGACAGCTTCTAGAAAAAAGGAAAGAGAAATAAGTCTTTATAGGGTTCGACAGCTTCTAAAAAAGGAAAGGGATAAAAGCTAAGGGTTAAACAACTAAAAGGAAAGGAATAAAAGCTAAGAGTTAAACAACTGCATAAAAAGGATAGAGAAATTAGGGTCTTATAGGGTTCAACAGCTGCATAAAAAGAAAAGGATAGGTCTTTATAGGGTTTACAGCTGCATAAAATAGAAAAAAGCTACAGAAATTAGGTCTGCATAGAGTTAGAAACAGAGGTACTGCTCCAATAAGTTAATTTTCAAGGATAGAAAAAGGGAAAAGTATTAGTGAAAGATTGTTATTAAGCATTTTTAAAAGTATTATTAGATTTTAAGTATATTGGCTCGAATAGATAGTTCTTAAAGCAAATAAAGAAGATAGTAAAATGGTTAAAGGTGGTCAAATCATATTTACAGGATTATCAGATAGTATTTCATTTGCTGATTTAAATGTTGGTTTCGAATTAAAATATCCTACGAATGTATTAAGAACTAAAACCAATCTCATAAAGTTATTAGCCGGTCCAGCATTAAATTATATTTTAAGGCTTCCAAGGACAGATACCGTAGATCAATGTATTGAAAAGTTAGGTATGGTTTATGGTAGAATAGAAAAAGCCCCATTACAAGATTTCTTTGATATCCGAAGTATTCAGTTCAACAATCTCGAAGAATTAATAACTGAATTCAATATGCGTTTAAGTATGGTAAATGGGTTAGATGAAAGTACAGTTGTACAAACTTTTAGAGATGCATGTGGTCCAAAACTAGGCATAGAGTTATGTAAAAAAGGTGCAACAACGATAAATGAGAGTTATATGCAAGCAAGAATTATAGAAAATGGTATTTTACGATTTGGAAAATCATTATATCTTAGACAGTATGTTTCTATGAAATCAATCCCACAATATGATTTTATATATAGCCCAAATACAACAAAGACTCCAGCAACAAATCACGTAATATCAACCCCAGTAACAAATCACGTAATATCAACTCCAGCACCAGTACAGAGAAATTTAACAGAGTCACCACAATCACCATATGTCCCAAGACCAGATTTTAATGTCAATAGTATAAAGAGTAGCCAAAAACAAGAGCTTCTGTTTAAGCATAATAATAAAAGGAATATAAAATGTTATAGTTGTCAAAAACTAGGTCATTATGCAAGTGAGTGTAGATCAAAAAAGAAAAATCATAATCAAATAAAGCATGAAGTAAATATGATTAAAGAAGGTGATCCAATTAATGTCATCACTCAAGAACAAGAAGTACCACCAGAAGTAAAGAAAGAAACAGCAATAGTATCCAAGTTAACTCCAAGATCAGAAAGAAATAAAAAGAATATCCACACAAATTTATCTGTTAATGGTAAATTAATTAGAGGAATGTTAGATACAGGTGCATTTATTAGCACAATGTGGAAGTCATTAGCTGAAAAAGCAAGTTTAAAGATTGAAGGTCCAAATAAAGATAACGCAATTTCCGGTACAGGTCATTCAATAAAGATTTTGGGTATTACAACAGCAACAGTTAAGTTGGGTGAAGTAGAAAGAACAGTAGAGTTCAAGATTGTCAAGGATAATGCATTAACTTCAGATTGTATTTATGGAATGAATTTAATTAATTCATTGAAGTTATGTATTGAACCTTGGAATGGCTATATTTATAGTCACGGAAACAAGAATAATAAATCGAAATTATATGAATTTAAATCCGATTCAAATGTTAGAGTATCAAGAATTTCGGACGAACAATTTGCAACAATTAAAGTAGAGCGTGTTAAAGAAATCATAAAAGAAAATGGATGTAATTTGAAGTCAGAACTAGTACAGCCAGATATTTTAAGCAATAAAGCTAAGATAGAAATTAGAGACTCAGAAAAAGTTACAAGCAAGTCACCATCTCATAAAGAAGTTATTGAAAGAAAAATCAAACAAAGTATGGATATCGATAATATAAAACCATCATTGTGTACTCAGTTTGGTGTTCCATTCAAGTCAAAGTTTAAAGGTGAACCATTTGAACACGTAGAATTTAGCAAAAATACAGTATGCGAAAATCTTATTAAGGTAAACGATAAGATTGCACCCGAAAAGATTCAACCACAGTTACTTAGTGAAGTTGAAGAAAAGACAAATATTATAAAAAAAGAAAAATGTGTTTTACATGAATCATTTGCCACAATACAAGAGGAAATGAAGAAGTTAAGTGAAATTAAAGAATTAGAAGATAGTGAAAATCAATTTGAAGTAAACAAGTATATTAAATTGCTAGATCCAGAACTAGAAAGTCATTGTTTAGTTTTACAATTAGAATTTTGTTTATTGATTGACAATATTTTATTATGTAATCGCAAATGTATAACTTCAAGTAGAGAATCAAAGTTATCATCAATTAGAAATAGGATTATGAGAGCAATTTGGTTTGAAAGAGATAATTTAGAGAAAGAGAAAGAATGTCAGATAAGATATTATTTTCAAATATATACAAGGAATAAAGAAGGAAATCAAGTAAATGTATATATCAATAATTCAATGAGAGAATTAGGTCCAAAAGAATTTTCTAAAGCAAGAATAGGTCTATTTTTAGTGTTAAAAAAGGTCGTTAAAGGTTTGATGTTCAAGATAAAGTTCAAAGATGGAAGTAAAGTAAACCCGAACATCAGTGTCAATCGTTTTAAAAAAATTCTGAAGGGGGGTTATGTAATGATACCTCATAAAGATAATGAAAGTTTTCAAATAATAATTCTTAAAATAGTAATAAGAAGTTTTATAATAATATCTCTTAAAATAGTAATAATAAGTTTTATAATAATATCTCTTAAAATAGTAATAATTTTCCATTTATAATATATTTAGTTGAAACTGTCACATGTTTAACATATATATACATTCATGTCAACTTGTTTATGATAGTATAAATACTTCAGTAATAATTCTTTATTAATGACTTATATATTAAATATTAACTTCTAATAACAATAACAATTAATAATATAATAACTAAAATACTTAAATAAAGGTTTCTAAACTATATTTCTATTATAACTATATTTCTTTATTAAACTTAGTAATATTCCTGTAACTCCGAGTGGAGCTCTAACTGTAACCATCTTTCAGATAGGGGTTCCATCACACACCTTTCATCCAATTCCTCATTGGTGTAGTCGGTAACACTCTAGTCTTTCACACTGGTACCTCGGGTTCGATTCCCGAATGGGGAGCTTTTAATTGATATTTATCTTTCCGGTGATAACTTTGTATTCTATTTTTGGTAAATCGTCATCCCATCTATCCCTTTTTGCCGTCACTTTAGATAGGGCCTCTTTAATCGTTTTATTCATTCTTTCCGACGACCATCTGATCGTGGATGACATGGAGCTGTTAACAATTGATAACGGTACACCACTAAAAATACATTATCCACTAAAAACTTTGCTGCTTCCACTGCTGTTTTGTTGCCTCTACCCATAATGAAACCATTATCTAATTCTTGTGTATATAGTGTTTTGATTTAAATAATATTTTTTAATTGATTTTAAATAATCATTTTTTTGTGTGAGTTTCATTGTATAATAATTTCTCTCAAATTCTTTTTTTTTTTATTTTTTATTTATTAAAATATTATTTGAATAATTAAATTGAATAATTAAATTGAATAATTAAATTGAACAATTATAGTTTCTTTAGGAATGAATATTAAAATAAATATTTATAGTTATTATACTTTCCTTAAAGTGGACTTTTAGATTAAATTTAATTATAAAAACTATTATTATAGATCTAAATGGCTATATTAGTTAAAAATAATTATTATTATAATTTTTAATAATGATGTTCGCAATTCCTTTGTAGAAATTTGGTGTTGTTGATGTTGAAAGGTTGTTGTTGTTGAATTTGTTGAATTGTTTATTTATTGGAACAGTATATTTGATAGAGGTTCGAATATTTGGTGAAGTTTGTTGTGGGTAGGTGTTATTGTTTCTATTTTTGCTGATTAAACCATATTGTTTTTGTTATAATTGTTATTTTTTTTTATTTTTGTTTTTGTTGGTCGGTAATCTATTCTCAAAAAAACCCTATGTAAAACCGAGGACACAACAAAATGAGAGATATAAAATTATGCAAAAATAGGAAAAAGATAAAAAATTAAAAAAAATTTAAAAAAAATAAAATATTTTTTCAAAATAAAATCATTTTAGTTTATAAAAATTTAAATAAAAAAATTGAGGCAAAGGATCAAATTATACAGAAATATTAAAAGGTATAAAGATATAATAGAAAGTTTAGAATGTAAACTAAACCATTACAGGAGAGAAAATGAAGAAATCAAATATATCAATTGCAAAAAACTATTATTCAAATGATTCAAAACAAATCACATATTTTAGAGATGGAATTCAACAATTATAAAATCAAAGAAGAAGAAGAAATTAAGAGGCTTGGTGAATCGAATAACGAAATTATTGAAACTGGTCACAGCAAAATAAGTGATCTTATGATGGAAATTGATTTACTCAAAGAGTCAGGTGCGGGCCAATGTAAGCAATACGAATCAAAATATTTCATTAAAAAAAAAAAATACACATATAAATAAATATCTATAGATATAACTAAATAATTTCCTTTATGAAATTCAGGATCTTTCTTTTAATAATTATTTTTTGATTTGTTTGTCTATATAACATTTTGTTAATAAATAAATTTTACACCTAAAAAAATTCCATACATATTTATATATAAATAAAATTATATTTTTTTATTTTTTTATTTTTTTTTGATTAAATTTTTATGTATTTAGTCTTTGACACACAACACCTCAGCTTTAAAATATTATCAACTCAGTAATTAATACACATTAATTAATACACATAAATATTTCTATTTAAATTAAAAAATTAAAAAATAATATAGAAATAAATCATTAAACCTTAATAATGTAAAAATTAAAAAAAAATAATGTATCATTAAAAATAATCTTAGTTTTAAAAAAAAAAAAAATGGGGTAAAAAAGTTTTAACTTTATTTTAAAATGGTTGGAATAATGATGGATTATAATGATCGATAATGAAATTTGATAGCTGGTTCATGAAGAATACAAAATGATCACCATCTACCATTGTACTCATCATTGAGTCTAAAACAATCCATCTTTCAATGCCACCTCTTTTATATAATTTGAAGCAATATTCGAATGGGAAATGCTCGATATTGACTTTACCAGATTCGATGAGAGAGTTCCAATAAGATTTGAAAAGCTTTTCCTCATTTGCTCTTCTAAATTCTACATTGTTGCAATTACTGATTATGAATTGAGCTACATCAGCGAATGGACAATTGATACCGATTTCAGACCAATCCAAGAGGTAGAATGTCTTTTCTGGAACTCCACTAACTGATTTATATTGAAGATTTGGGACCATAACATTACCAGCATGAAAATCACCATGTGTTAAAGTGAATGAAGTCTTTGGGTTACTGATATCGATTCTTTTTAATTGGTTTTCCCAAGTGTAATAATTTGAATAAAACTCTTCAACCACCTTGATTAATAGGTCTGAATTATTAATTGAATCTTTCAATGCAGCAATCTTTGGTAAAGCTATGTTTTTCCATGTGGATACCAAATACTCTTTACTTTCCATCCACTTTTCTTTACCCTCTCCATTATAAACATTGAAATTCTTCAACCAGGTCATATCCACTCCATCAGAATTCTTTTCTTTTAGTATACTGCTATCCCTAAAATACTCGATATGAAGCTTTGAAGTTTCTAAAAAGCAATCTTCAAAAATCTTGTATGGATCGTACAATGATAAGTTAAAATCTTGTGGGAGACCCCAACATTGGTTACCTAAAGCTTTACATGCGGTAATGTATTTCTTTTGGAACGAGGTTTGCTCATCTTGCTTTTCAAATTCTTTAATTTCCTCATTTGTAAGTTCTGAAAGATCTTGCATGATGATTGCAAATGAGCCTGATGGAGTCTTATTTCTATAATAAGTCTTTGGAACGAAACTATACATCATTTTACCATGAGAGTTCATTAATTCTCTATAGTTATAAAAATCAACTTCTCTATGTGAATGTTTAAGTGCTGATAATTTCTTTTCATCACATAACTCTGCAACAAAGCATTTGAAAATAACTGAATTTGGTCTTGATGATTGTCCTTTATTATCGTTATTCCATTTCAATGATAATTTGATAATATATCCAACAAACCCCCCTTCTAATGGATTTCCACATGTAAATTCTATAATTTTTGATGAACTGTCATTAGAATCTTTGATAACTGAGTTTAAAAAATCCAATGTTATCTCTTCTTTACTAATAACTCCTGTCATTTTATTATTATTTATTGTTTTAAAAAAAAAAATGAAATTTAAAAAAAAAAAAAAGTTTTTTATATTTTTTTTTTGTTTTTATTACTTTTTTCTCAACATTCGTCTTTTATTTCTTTTTGGTTTAAATAATAATATTTTATCGTAATAACCGTCCAAAGAGTAAAAACATTATAATAAAAACCCTCCTTTTTGCTAAAAAATAAATAAAAAACATATCTCGTATATTCTTTCTTTTAATTTTATCAAAAAATAAAATAATTATAATAATCTATATTGTTGCATATATTAAAATATTTTAGGAAGCAAAAGACATACGATTATTGGTTAATAAAAGAAAAAAAAGAAAAAAATATCCAAAAAAAAAAAAAAAAAATTTTAAATTATTTTAAATTTATTTAAATTTTTTTTATTTTCATATTAAAAAATATTTATTCCCCTTTTTTTAATAAGATGATGACAATAAACCACATCAACAAAATCAATTATAGGAATGTATTAAAAAATCAATATTTCAAAAGATATTTACATCCAGAAGGATGTTTTAATATAGAAAAGATTCAAAAAATGATGGATAATAGTTCAACATCGGGTAATCCTTTTATAAAGAAATCATTTAAGGGTCCATTATTATTAAAAGATTTGCAAGCATTTAACGACAATGGTTTTCTAATCAAAAACGATATAATAGATAATAAACTACTCTTTGAATTTAAACAAGAGTTTAATGAATATCAAAAAGATAACAATCATACCAATAATAGTAATAATAATAATAATACTCAATACAACTGCCATTTTAAAAGTTTATATGAAATTAGACAAAATCAAAATTTCTATGAATCGTATATTCAACTATTAGGCTCAACATATTCAGATTCCTATACAAACTATTCAAATACTTTATCGTTAATAAACAGTGGTAAACCAACAACAATAAAGAATGTATCATTTTTAGAATACCCAAATTTTATACATAATTTTTCACCCATTGAATTATTCATGTATTTAGGCAACTCAACTATCAAAAGCAACTCTGGTGAAAACAATGATAAAACCATCAATTTAGATTGTGTAAGTCATCAAATAGATAGATATTTAGATATTTATTGTTTACTAATTATATTATTTTAGAATCCATTTAATTTATTTAAAAATGAAAAAATCAGTAAAGAAGGATTGGTTTACAGCAATATAGAATGTTGGAAACCTATTAGATCATTCATTTCATTAAAAGATAATCAAGGAATTTGGATATTACCAGGGTTTCATAAAAAATCAGTTCAGTTTATTCAAGATAAATATTTAGAGAATAGAAAAAAGCTTATTAAAAACCTATCTTTAAATGGCAGCGGAGAATCAAATGGTTATAATGTTAGCAATTATTATAAAAACGATAAAGAGTTATTGTCAATGTTAGAATATATTCCATTAAATAAAGGTGATATAGTATATTTCGATTGGAGAATACCGAAAAGCTATGACCAGTCATTATTAGAATTTATAGATACGTCCTTTTTACCAAATGTTTTAATTAATCAACAATATATTCAAATAGAAAAAGATAATTATAAAAATGGTATAATAACACTAAACAACACCAATAATAATAACAATACCAAAAATACAACCAATAATATCAATAATGAGGGTTTCTTATCAAAATTCCTTTCAAACTTTAAAAATAATAATGATAGTGCCAAGGACAATTATCAAAATTTAGAAAATAATAAAATTAAAGAATTTAATAATGAAAACTTTGTATCACCAAAACTATCAATATTGGGAGAAAAATTATTAAATTTTAAAAAATGGGAAACTAATTAAATAAAAGATATAAAAACATAGTATTATATTATTATTATTATTATTATGTTTTATAAAATTTTTTTTTTTTTTTTGTTTTATTTATTTAAAGCTAATTTTTTTTTTTTGTTGTGTTTTGATTTTTTTTAAAAATAGTAAAAAAAAAGTAAATATACATTTATTATAAATTATAAAGTTGAAATAATCTAAATAATTTAAACATCTGGATGATCACGTTTATATTCTGTATAAAGATTGTCGATAATTTCTTGATATCTGATTTTGAGTTGTGGTCTTTTTGGTTTGAATGATGGAGTTAATAAATCATTTTCTTCAGAGAAGGCAACATGTTCAATGTGAATATGTTTAAGTTTTTCGAAACCGTGGAGTTTAGCTTCAGCAGCACATGAATCGAATGATGACATAATTTCTTTGTAAAGTTCTTTAGTTTTAACGAGGGTTTCTAAATTGTTAACGTCAAGATTTGGATATTTAGAGGCGAAAAGTTTTTGAACGACTTCAAAATCTGGAACAACAACACCAACTAAGAAACTATTTAATGAATCACCATAAACGAAAACTTGTGAAGCAAATGGTGAACGAACGTAAACAGATTCTAAATATTCAGCAGCAACGTATTCACCTTGTGAAAGTTTGAAAATGTTCTTCTTACGATCAATGATACTGAGAGTACCGTTTTCATTCCAACGACCAACATCACCAGTGTGGAACCAACCATCAGATTTGAGATCTTCGGCAGTTTTTTGTTCATCTTTATAGTAACCCATGAAAACGTTGTAACCACGTAAGCAAACTTCACCTCTTGGGCATGGTTTATCAGTTGAGAAATAATTCATTTCTGGTACATCTACTAATTTAATTTCGACTGATGAAAGTGGTGGACCGACATGGTTAAGGTTTGGATCTTCTGGATAAGCAACATTGGCACCACCAACATTTTCAGTTAAACCGTAACCTTGAACGACTGGACAACAGAAACAGGCACGAAGGAATTCGGCTAATTTTGGATCTAATGGAGCTGAACCAGAGAGAATAAATTTAACACGACCACCTAATCTATCTTTGGTCTTTTGGAAAACGAGTTTATCCCAAATTGGTGTACCTGAACCACTTTTCATGGCAGCTTGTTTAGAGTTAAGACCCCAGTTGAAGAGGAATTTCTTTAACCATGAATCATTGTTAACAGTGAACCATAATTTATCGTGAAGACGTTGCCAAACACGTGGAGCACCACAAAGGAAAGTTGGACGTAAAACTTGAATATCGTTAAAGAGTTCTGGAATTAAACCTGAGAAGAAACCAATTTGGCCACCAACAAAACACATTAATGAAACAACAGCACGTTCAAATGAATGAGCTAATGGGAGATATGACATATGGACATCATCTGGGGTGACACCAGCTGGTGAATTATCAGCAGCAGCAACTTCACTAACCATATTGGTGTGTGATAACATAACACCCTTTGGATTACCAGTTGAACCTGAAGTGTAAAGTAAAGTACAAAGATCTTCTGGTGATGGAAGAACGTGTTCGGCTGGATTTTCTTGACCAATCTTTTCAAATTCTGATAAAAGGTAAACTTTAATGTTACCATCTTTGAATTTCTCTAAAGTAGTTTCTGGTAATGGATCGAATGAAACAATAACACGAATTGATGTTGAAGCACCCATAGCATAAAGTTTTTCAACATTTTTACCTTCACATAAAATAATTGAGAGTTCTGAATGATTTACAACGTACTCAATGGCATTTGGACCTAATGTAGCATATAATGCAACTGGGACCAATGATTGATTCATTGCAGCCATATCTGATAAAACCCATTCAGGTCTATTAATTGAAAAGATACCAATACGATCACCCTATAAATATTTTTTTTTATAATTTTAAATTATTAATATCATTATTAATTATTAATTATTGATTATTAATTATGTTTATTATTTTTATTTGATTATTTATAAAATAAAACACTCCGTTGTTGGATATTTTTTTTAAAAAAATAAAAATTTTGTGTCGATTGATTTACAAAGATATTTTTAATAAAATATTTTTTAAAAAAAAAAATAAAAAAATTTCCACATAACTTTTCGCCACAATAAAAAAATAAAATAAATTTATGATAATAAACCAAAATGTGTTTACGATCATTGGAGAAAACTTTGTGATATAATGTGGGGTTATTTCATACACAAATTTGTACTATGCAGGTGTTTGGTGTTTGATTAATGATTGGTGACCCTTTTTGAATTTTTTTTGGAAAAATCTTTTGAAAAAAAAAAAATTGGAAACGATAAAAAAACGAAGCACAAAAGATGTAAAAAAAAAATATATGAAAAAAAAAAATGCCGTCGTGAAAATTTTGTGTGCTAAACTTTTTAAAAAATTGAAGTGGTGAGGCGGAAATGAATTATTTGAAATAAAATATTAAAAAATAAATATCAACACATGTGTGAAATATTTGAGTGTGTGTGTGTAAATTGACTGATGCTGTTATTTGAAACAATAAAAAAATTCCTATGCTAAAATAATATATTTGAATGTTCTGTTGTTAATTAAATAAATACCTTTTTGGCACCACAATAAACTAAAGCTGAACTGATATGGTTAGCTCTAATAACACCTTGTTTATAAGTAATCCATTTGTAATCACCTCTTTTTCCATCAGCTAATAATTCACGAATACCTAAAAAGTTTCTATCACTATCTTTGTTGACTCTGTAAAATTAATATTAGATTAATAAATGTTTTTTTTTTTTTTTTTTTTTTGTTTGTTTGTTATTAAAACATACTGATAAACATCATATAAAGTTTTGGTTTTACCACCATCTGGTGAGTCAATTAATTCTGGGAACTTGGTGTTTCTTCTTGGTCTAGTTTCACCAGCAATAACTGGAGCATTTGGGACTTCAATTGATTGAAGACGAATCTATAGATAAAATTAAATTAAATTAGTATTCTATATTTCTTTAAAAGAAAGAAAAAAAAAAAAAAAAAATCTTTATTCATATATAAGATATATCTATGAATTTTCTTTTATTTTCTTCATAGCTATGAAACATACAAAATCTGGATCACCAAGTAATTCTATATAAAAAGTATTATTTTTTGTATTATAATAATATGTTAATATTAAATTTTATTTGATTTATATTCAAACGATATTGCATAAATTGCTTATTTTGAAGAGATTTTTTTTTTTTTTTTTTTTTTTAACACTATAAAATAAAAAAAGCAATATTTATTTATTTATTTATCTATTTATAAATTTATTAATACATACCTTTTCTAGTTGTTAAACTTGACATTTTTATATATTATAATTTAAAATAAAATAAAATAAAAAAGACTTTTCTAACAAAAATAAAATATAAAATATATAGAAAAAAAAATTTTAAAAAAAAAAATAAAAAAAAAAATTTAAAAAAAAAAAAATTAAAAAAAAATTAAAAATAAAAAATTTAAAAAAATTAAAAAAATATATTTTTTTTTAAATTGAAAGAAAATAAAAAAAAAAATATGTATGTATGTCAAGCCACACATTTTTTTAGTTGAAAAGTGATTGTTGTTTTTTTGAAAAAATAAAATTAAAATTAAAAATAAAAATAAAATTAAATAAAAGTTTAGTTGATGTGAATAGAAATCCCAAATTTTTACACCACATGAATATAAATAAGTGTATCTATAATTTATTTCAAATATTTTTTATTGCCACACCACACCTATTTGTTTTTATTGCCACACCACCTCACACCAAATTTGCACAATTATGTTTTCAAAATAAAAAAATAAAATTAATTTTTCCCAAACTCGACTGAATAACACTTTTTCCCAAACAGTTATTTATATCTCTTCATTTTAAAGATTTTGAATTTATTAATTTATTTATAAATTTATTTATTATAATTTATTTTTAAAAATTACAATTCTAATTTTTTCTTTTTTTTTTTTATTTTTATTTTTATTTTTATTTTTTTTGATTTAAAATACAATTTAAAAGTACTCTGATCTGGTTACTTTCTACCAGTTAAACCATTTGGTCTTGGAGCACCACCTATTTTGGGAGTAGTTGAGAATGATCTTGTTTGTTGTGGTTGTGAGCCACATTTTCCGCAATATGGATTTCCTTCTTTTTCAATATAACCTTTTTCTAAACTTCCTGAACATGTAAAACAAACAAAACACTTTGATTAAAATAAAATATGTTGTTAGAATTTGTATTAATTATTTCATATAATAATTGAATATTTGAAAAAAATATTCATTGAATAGTTGTAGATATTTACATTTTGATGATATTTATTACCGCTAACCATTGTGTATGTCGAGGTAATTGGCTTTTTGCATCTATAATGTATTGTAAAATGAAAAAAAAATATTAATAATAGTTTTAATTTTTTTTTAAAAAAAGTTATTACAACATACTTATTGCAGGATACAGTATTTGATGTTTTATTGGCACAATCATTACAGAGTGCAAGACCTTCTCTATTTGTAAATGTGTTTCTACCAATCTTTGATTGGCATTGGTTACAGGTAAAGCAGTCCTCATGATAAACATTGTTGTTAAATGTAACTACATCACCTAAAGATATTACTTTTCTGCACCAGGTACATGATTCTTTACCTTTTTGAATATTGCTATAAAGATTTGTTTTCATATCATTTAATTCTTTAGTTTTTGTGTTATCAACTACAACTTTGTTTGATGCATTATGTTTTGAAATTGCAATATTTGGATTACTTTCTATTTCTTTTTTGCACTATAGAATATATTTATATTAGATTACATACTATAATGATATGTTGTTTTTGTTTTATTAATTAAGCTTACATCTAAACAATATGGACAATTTGCAATTTCTGAAAAATTTGTATTTGATAAATTTTTTGAACATAATGTGCAGGTAAAGCATTGAGTATGATAGTTTTTACCAATTACATTTTTATATTCTGTATTGATAATTGGTCTTGTGCATTTATCACATTTTACATCGTTGGCGCTAAAGCATTGAGCGTGATATCTTTTTGAATTTAATACTGATACCTGGTCATTTGGACCAATGGTTTTATGACACCCTGAACATGTACCAACTACAACATCATAATGAGTTTTGCAATATCCAATTAACTTGTCGTTTGGATGTTCATAGATTTTTATACACTTTATTCCACATTCCCCGCAATATTGTAGTTTATTATTAAATGACATTATTTGTATATTATTTATTAAAAGATAAAATTAAACCCAATTTTAAAAAAAATTAAAAAATTAAAAAAAAAAATTAAAAAAAATAAATAAAAAAATTAAAAAAACCAATTTTTTATTTGAATCTAAAAAATTAATTATAATAAAATTGCAACCCTTTTTTGGATTGGTTTTTAATTTTTTTAAAATTGATCGAAACTGGATATATTTAAAATTTGTGAATAAAAAAATAAACGAATATTTAAAATTATTACCAAACTGTAATAATTATTACTGATCGATTTTATGTTTTTATTTTAAATTTCAATTTAGAATTTCAAAAGTAGTAACAATTGAGGTGTGGTCTGATGGGTATAGATGATTGCTGTCAGAATTGGTAGAGGTTTTTGATGACGAAGATGATAATGCTGGGATTTCTTTGCATCTGCCTTTGATGTGAAAATCTAGTACTTTTAAGTTATTATCATTTGATCTGAAAAGATAGTCTATACGTTTATTTGGTGCACCATAAAGTGTTGGGAAAGTATAGCCGTTGAGATAATCTGTAATCTTGCAATCACTATGGACTTGGTTTCTAAGTTGATCTAAATAGATATCTTGGTTGCTATTTTCTTCAAGTTTTCTAGATGAATATTCCATCCAAGTGTCTTTTAAATTACCAGCATGGTTATTGATTTCATAGTCACCAATTAAATATTGGATAGCATTTGCGCTGGGTTCTAAATTTAGATCACCCATAAAGAGATGTGGTTTGGGGAATTCGTTAATATATTTAAGTGATTCATATGCATTTCTCTTTGAACCTTCAGCCTCCAATGAAAAGTGGCTTGTAAAAACATTTATATTGAGATCGTGTTGCTTTAAATATACTTGAGCACGTAATAGTGAACGTTGATGAGCATCATCAGCATTCATAACTTCTCTTGATAATTTAATTGAACTGATATCTGTAATTGGATGTTTTGAGAATATAGCTAAACCTTCAAACTGGAGACCTGTATTGGTGTTATAAACCATTGATGGTAAATAGGTAAAATGATATTTTTGATTACGTTCTGATAAAAGCTTCCATATGTGTTGTACCTGATTACGTTCTTCACCCTTTCTAACAGAGCTTTTGAATGGGGCTTCAGATGTCCATGAAGAGTATCTAATTTCTTGAAAGCAAATGATATCTGGTGATTCATTTAAAATAACATCGGCCATCTTCACTCTTCTCTCTCTCCATGGGTCGTTAAAGTTCCAAGTGTTATATGACATTACTTTGATTTGATTTACTGCATTTTGAACACCACCACGGCCACCAATATGACTATTACCACTGTTGCCTGTATATTGTAAATTTGAGATAGTAGAGTCAAACAAGTCTTGATTGTTTTGATGTTTTATACCATCGTTGCCCTGTTTGTTGTTGTTTACTAAATCCTCAAAGCTATCGAAGCATAAAAACTGTTGTGTTGATAATAAACCTAAATAATCTTTGAAGAGTTTTAATTTTAAATATGTACATTTTTCATCTAAAAGTTTTTTAGTCTTATAGTCATTGCTTGTAGATAGTGATTCATTCCTGAGGAAAGATTCATAGGTTTTTGATGTCTGAATATTTGTATCCATATATACTGATATATCGTAGACGGTACCAATTGGAAAATCAACTAATTGATATTGTGGATATCCATTTCTATTATTCGAAACTGGTTGTCTAGTTTTTAAATTTTCACCATCTCCATTTAAACTTAGGTATTGAACTTGCTTTTTACCTTCAACTAAATCAATCTGATATATTGGGAAGAAATATTTCGCTTTGATATTTAAATTTTGTGTTGTTTTAAAATTATTTAAAAAAAAATATCTATTTAAATTTATATTTGATTTTAATTGCTAAATTTATAAATAAATAAGAATATTAGTATTTGCTACACTATCGCTTTGGAGGAACTCTATATTGTATAACCTGATGCCTTACACCTAAAACATTATTTATTTCTTTAGAGCCAATTGACAAACTTTCATATTCGCCAACAATACCAGCACTAGTAGTAGGATATGAGTTTATTAATATTACAAAATTATTTAATACTATTACTATTATTAAAAACAATATTTTGTTTTTAATCATTATTATTACTAATTATAAGTTATTAATTATTATTATAATTTTATTGTTATTGTTATGTTATTATTATTATATTATATTGTTATAATTATAGTATTAAAAAAACTATAAGATTTATGAAATTATTTTATTTGATATCATAAATTTTATCTATACAATTCTAATTAAAATTTTACAAAAAAAAAGAAAAAAAACAAGTATGAAATAAATAAAAAAAGAAATTATTTATTTTTTTATTAAATTAAAAAAAAAAAAAATTTTAAATTGGGGGTGGTGTTAATTTAAAAATAAAAATAAAAAATTAGGGTAAATTAACTGAAAAACAAATATATATAATAATTAAATTATATATAAAATTACTATATTTATACAATGGTAATAAAATATTTATTTATAGAAGATTAAACCAAAAAAAAAAAAAAAAGAAAAAAATTTTTAAATTTAATTATAAAATTTATTTTTTTTAAAATAATTTTTTTTTAAAATTATTTTTTTTTTTAAAATTTAATTTTTTTTAAAAACGAAAAAACGAAATAATTTTTTTTTTTATTTTTTTTTTTTATAAATACAAGTGTTTGATTGGATTAACAAACACAACATATTTTAAAATGGGTAGATCAAAAGCTAAAAATACTAAACAACCATCACTCGATTTCAAAGTGAAAAAGAAGAAATTGGGTAAAAAACCATTACCAAATCCAAATGTCACTGTGACAACATTTAAATCAAAGGGTAAATAATTTGAATTTTAGTTTTAATTAAATAAAATAGATTAAAAATACTAATATTAAAATTTAATATATTTAGCATTAAATATGCCAGGTCAAAATATTGCAGAAGAAAAGGATGATTTAGTAAATTTTAGAAATTTAACATTAAAGGATTTATTATCAAAATTAAGTCATTATAACGATCAAATAAAGAAAGATTCAGTTACAGGTATTCGTGATTTAATTTCATTGCATCCAGTAGTATTACACAGTCATTTAGGATCTATTATGAACAAGTTGGTAGAGGTTATCAATGATTTAGATAAAGATGTTAGACATTGTACACACATTTTAATCGGCAATATTTTAAAGATGACAGATGAAATCACTATCTCACCATTTATTCCATTATATTCAGTATACATCAACTCGGGTATGACTCATTTAAAAACAAGTATTCGTTTAGATTCATTACGTCTTTTAGATATATTCATCGATCATTTCCCAAAATTAGTTTCACGTCATTGCCATCAAATGATTCCAAATTATATTGACCTTTTAAAGAGGGTTTCAGGTTCAGCCACCACTGCAACCGTATCAACATCCACCTCCTCAACTGCAACTATTCAAGACCCATCAACCAATGGTCTTAAACCAGCAAACGCACAAAAAAAACAAAAGAATACAGCCACATCAACACCAAAAGCCAATTCACTTCACACTAGAGTTTTCATTTTAAAGAGTCTTTATAAATTAATTCAAGTATTATTGGTTAAACCAGATTTATCATTCGCTTCACTTCTCAACTCTATCCACAGACAACAATATCACACACCAATAGTAGAATCTAAACTTTTAGTTAATAATCAACACGCTTTTCAAGTTTATCAAGAAAAGAAGATTTTCTCTTCTATCTTTAACAAATATAATTTAAAAAATGAAGCTGCCAAAGCTGCATCAGCAAGTGGCGATACTCAAGCACTCTATCCAACCATTTTAGAGACACCAGATGAATTAAAACAATTTTCACTCACCCTTTTACCAATTCTTATTGATTTATGGTTAGAGCTTGGTCCATCTAATCCAGGTATTTCCTTCCAAATATTAGAGGATTTAGAATTGGTTGTAAATATCGTTCATTTAATTGTACATTGCTTAAAAGAATTTTTCTCAACATCAGAACTCTACAAAGGTATCAGAAAGGATTACATTAAATATTTTTCAGGTCATTTCCCATTTTATGTTGGTTCAGCTTCAAATCCAGACTCTAAAGAATGGATTACAAGTAATTCAATTAATTGTGTTATGACTCAAATCGCATCACATTTTCTTGGTTTTAACCCAACAGATCTTGATCAAGTTAGAGATTGGTATTCACCATTCTTGGAATACATCGAAGATTCACTCAATGGAAAGCTCATTGATGAAAAGGTTGAAGGTCGTCAAGGTCAAGCTATCAAAAATCATATTTCAAATTTATTATGGATTATCAAAGTCATTCTCCCAATGTTAGATAAAGATCAAACTTTTAATATTTTAAATGCATTCATCAAATTTGATGAAAACTGTCACCCACACTCTACTTCAAAGAAATCTTGTGTATTTTTCATTAAAGAATTAATAGATATTCAATCAAATTCAACTTTATCAAAAGATAAATCATTTAAAAATATTATCGATTGGGGTTTATCATCATTACCAAAATTATTATGGAAATTAGGTAATTCTGATATTGATACTACTTTAGTAAGTATAATTTATTAATAATAATAATTATTTTATATTGATTTTTTAATATTAATTTTAATTTTTTTTAATTTTTTAATTTTACAGATGATTTTAAATATTTTATTATCAGTTGGTAAAGATAAAACTAAAATTAAGCAATATGATTTAATTCAAAATGCTTTAGTACCATTCTTTTTCACTATTACAAAAGAATCAGAGAAATTTCCAAATGGTAGACAAATCTATGGTCCATTTATAAATTTACCATTAAATATTCAATTTTTAGCTTTAAATACATTATATTATTTTTCATCATTAAATAAAATAATGATTAGATCATTAATTGCAATTTGTAGATGTATGTATAAAAATAAAATAATAAATAGTAAACAATAATAATAATAATTAAATTAAAATTCTAATATTAACCAAATATTCTTTTAATCATATATATAGATAAAGATATTTCATTTGAAGTTATTTCATTTATTTTAGATTTAATTCACAATTTATATTTAGTAAATAATTTAAGTATTTCACATTATATTGCTTTTTCAACAGCAATTACACTCTCAATTACATCAAACGAAAATCAAGACGCCAATGATACAGATATCGAAATGAAGGAATCCGATGAAACTTTAATAAAAAGAAAAGAAAATACAGATAATATTTTAGCTAAATTATGTTGGAATATCAATAGTTTAAGATTATCAAATCCAATTCAAGATATTTTAGAACCAATGACACCACCATTTATTAATGAATTGGTAAATATACATTATATATCCTACATTACATTATATTATATTTAAATTGCAAATACTAATTATAATATAAATTTAATATTACTACCGTCACTATAGAATAAATTAAATGAATCAAACTCACATAAATCACTTTATATTTTAACTTTAATATATTCAACATTTAATAATAATAACCAAGAAGATGAATTTATAAATATTTCAAAAGATTTAATTAAAGTATTACAAGTTACTTTATTTACATATATGTTTAATTCAATTAAACATGAATCAAATACCATTAATAATAGCAATAATAATAATAGTTTGGATTATATTAAAGATTTTAATATTCCAATTCTTTTAATTAAATCAGATAAATCAAATCAAACCATTTTAAATATATTAAACCAAATTTCAAATAAGGTTAATCACGGCTCAACTCAAATCGAAAAGAATAATAATAATCAATTTAGCATACTTTTATTAATAGAGTTGTTTAGATCAAAAGAGTTATACGAAGATTTCCAATCAATAAAATCAACCATCAAATCATCAGTTTTAAAGAAAATAGAATCTTCAGTAAAAGAAGTTTCAGAAAAACATTTGGTTGAAAAATTATTATTAGAATCAAAATTATTATTCAATGAATAAAATAACTAATAGATAATTGAAAAAAAAATAAAATAAAAGAAAATAAAAAAAATTTAAATAAATATAAATATCTTTATTATTTCTTTTTTTTTAAGAAAAAACTACTTAAAAATAAAAAATCTTTTTTTTTTTTTTATTTTATTTTTTTATTTACTTTTTTGCATGTTTTACTTTTTAAAAAAAAGTTTTGTTTGCTTTTTTATATTATTTAAATAGTGAACTATAAAATGGAAAATCATAGTATTAATTCCAATAGTAATAATAATAGTATGGTCAGAGATTCAAATACACTATTTTGGATGGTTTTTTCTAATTGTTATTTAAGAAATAAAATATTGGGATATTCAAAACTTTATAAATTATTTTCTTCAGAAAGAGCTTTTAAAACAATTTATGAAATTCATAATTTTAAATTCAAATATTATTTAAGAAAAGTAGTTATAAAAGAACAAATGAGTTTTTTTAGAGATTTCACTTTTTATAAAGATAGTAAAAATGATTTAGAGTTATTACCAACAAATATCGAATCAATTAGTGTTAATAAAGTAAATAATACTATACCCAAATCGATCAAATCTTTAAAAATTGAATATTGTGACAGTGACGAATCGACAATTTTTTTAAATAACAATACTCTAGAGTCATTACATATATCAAGCAATTATCATAGTTCAATATTTCCTGAATCATTAACTCACCTTGTTTTATGCTCCAACAACTGGACGTGGAAAAAAGGCGTCCTCCCAAACACTTTAAAAAAGATTTTTATATATTCAGACAAAACAAATATTTTTGAACCAGGTTCTATACCAGAGTCAGTCGAAGAAATTGATGACCATTTTGGAATAGTTAAATTGGTGCCAGGCTGCCTACCCAAAGGTTTAAAGAGACTTAGAATCATTAAGACTTGCAAAATCTCCCAGGATTTAGTATTTTTAGAGTCTTTAACCGATCTAGAAATTATATGCGATGTTATCAAGTATAAACTACCGCCAAATTTAACCAAACTAAAAGTATTATTGAATTTACTAACTACAAAACTAGGTGATATAGAGCTTCCATCATCATTACAGCACCTTCAATTCCTTCAACAGGGCTCAGGCGGACAGGAGCCAAATAACAATGGGATTAAAATTCCAGCAGGTTTAAAAACATTAAGTTGCTCATCACATATTTTATTTACTATCTCACATTTAAATAGTTTGGAAGAGTTAAGAATTGATCATGGTTCAAATATTCATTTGAAGCCCAATATGCTTCCATCCAATTTGAAATTATTCGATCTTTCTAATTATTTCGATAATAATAATCGTCCATTAATTGAAGAACATTTATTCCCTCAATCACTTACATTTTTAAATACTGGTTCGTTTTTTAATCGTGATATCGGACCAAATGTATTACCAGAGTCCTTGTCGTACCTCGAGTTAGGTTATAGCTTCAATTTACCATTTAAAGCCAATGTTTTACCAAAGAATTTAAAGACCCTCAAATTGGGCTCCTTATATAATAGAGCATTTATCAAAGGCTCTCTTCCCGATAGTCTCGAGTTATTAATAATTGGAAATCCTCAATATAGTCACTTCCCAATTGAACATATAGGCCCTCAAACAACAATAGACGCCTCTCTTAACCTCAAACATTATGTAATGTATCCAAAAACATTAAAAAAATTAGTGTTTTACAAAAATCAAGATTGTATCTCATTCAAAAGTTTTGTCAACTTAGAGCATTTATACATAAAAGAAACACTTCAAGAAATACCAACCGATATACCAACCGATAATGAAATCAAAGTAATCGAAACCAATAGGTATTTTAGAGGTAAAATAGATCTTAATGTTTTTAGAAATTTACAAACTATTATTATCGAAAAAAATGCAAATCCATATATCTTGGTTGGTGAATACAATAATTTTTACAATCTAAAAGAAATCATAGTTGACTATACTAATACTAATTTTATAGATAATGTCAATCCAATATTCCACAGTTTCATAATTTTAAAATAAAATATTTATAAATTTATATTAAATCAATTTATTTTTGAATTATTTATTTATTGTTCAACTTTTAAGAGTTCAACTTCAAAATATAAGGTGCTGTTGCCTGGAATTGGACCAATACCTCTTGAGCCATAACCATAGTCTGGGGTGATTGTTAATTCGAAAATATCACCTTCTTTTTTATTTAAAACACCTTCATCCCAACCTCTGATAACTTGATTTTTACCTAAAATTATTGATATATTTAATTGTTAATAATTTTTATTGTTGTTTTTTTTTCCTTTATTTTTTTTTTGATTTCTTTTGATTTCTTACCTAAAACGAAACTGAATGGGGTTCCTCTATCTTTTGATGAATCGAATTTTTTGCCATTTTTATCATTGAGTTTACCAGTATAGTGAACAGTAACTTTATTACCTTTGATAGCTTGTTTACCAGTAGCGGCACCTTGTTTAATAAAATTTGAGATAACACCCATCATCTTTTTATGTATATGCAATTTAAATATAAATGAAATAAAAAAATTCGAAAAATTAAAAAAAAAAAAAAAAAAATTAAAAGAAAAAAAAAAAATTAAAAAAAAAAAAAAAAAAAAAAATTAAAAAATGGATTACTTTCATTCTTTTTATTATCATTAATAATTGTAAAACTTAAAGAAAAAAAAAAACATAAATTTAATTTTATTTCAGTTCTAAAAACTTAAAATAATTTATATCTCAATTGATCTATATTATAATTTTTTTATTTTTTAAAAAAAAAATTTTTTTTAAAATTTTTAAAATTTTTTTTTTATAAATTAATTTAATTCACAACTTCAATAAACACAAATAATAATCAATTGATCAAATAATAATATAATAACAGTAATAGTAATAATAAGAGTAATATCAATATAACTGATAATAATAAAAATATAATATGAAAAAAAATTTGGAAATTGATTTTCAAGAATTTATAAAAAATGAAGATGTTTATCAAATATTACATTGCACAAAAAATGATACTCAAACAATCATTCAAAAAAACTATAAAAGATTAAGATTAAAAGTAAAGGAAAAATCAATGGATCCACAGCAACAGGAAAAAGAATTGAAAAAACTAGATTTTGCTTACAAGATATTATCAGATGAAAAATTAAAGAACATGTATGACCTAAAATGTGAATCAATAAAAATAAAAAAAAAAAGTTTTGAAGATCTTAAACTCAAGATTTTGGATTTAAGCCTTTCTTTGATGAGGTATGCCGGTTCGAAATTATTACTTAAAATACAAACTACAAATGCCATAGTAAGCATACCAATTCTCATTAAAGAGATTTATAAAAAGAAAGGTATTCAAGGATTTTATCGTGGTGTTTCATTTTTCCCAGCATTTACACTCACCGAGATAATAAGATTATGTTCAGTCCATGCAGTTTTTAATACGCCAATTGAAGCTCCGCAATCGCCAAGTTTATGGTTTGCCCATGAATGCACAAGAGTTATTTTACAATATCCATTTTTGGTGGCATTTGACTGTATATCAATTTCGCCGTTAGATGTCAAGCCTCGGTCTGTTTTAAAAATGATGTGGGGAAATAAAAGATCGTTTTACTATGGTTTTATATACTATGTCTTTATTAGTTTATCCTCCAAATATCTCACAATGATTATCGATCAATTGGGTCTTAAAATAAGAGAATCTTATACCCACCATTTAAATAATTCCATCACCAACACTCACAAAGCCGGAACCACAACCACCAAAATTTTAAAATATTTAGATTTATTTTATAATAACAGGTTCACAATGGTATTTTTGGATACATTAGTTTGCTTGCCCTTATTATGTATTCGTAGCCACTATCCATCAGAAATTTTAGAATCACTACTCAGCGACCAACCATTACCCGTCCCAACAACCTCACCATTTACAATTTCAAAAAATATTTTCTCCCAGTTTGGATTGGCAAAATTTTATAACGGTTTTATTTTATCATGTATCACAAAATGCTTATTTGTCCGAGAGAATACTCAGGTAGTTCAAAATATTTTGTAATAAAATAATTTTTTTTTTTTTCACACACATCAAATTACAAATATACATTTTCATTTTTTTTTTTTTAAGTTGGTAAATTCACATAAAAATTATTTTTTAATTTTTTTTAATTTTATTTTTTTTATTAATTATATTTTTTTTAATTTATTTTTTGTAATTTTTTTTTTTAAATTAATTTTTTTTTATTTTGTATTGATTGAATTAATTTAATATTTAATAGTAACTATAAATAAAAAATGGATGGAACAACAGGTGGTGTTGAGGATGCTGCAGATGATTTTTTGCATTTTTTCGACAATGAAGACCCTTATAAAATTTTAAGATGCAATAAAGGTGATTCAGTGGAAACTGTAACCAAGAAATATAAAAAGCTAGTGTCAAAAGTCAAAGCCCAAGAAATTGTAGATAAAAAAGAATTAAAGAGATTAGAAATAGCCTATAGAATACTAACTGATCAAAATTACAAAGAGTTGTATGACCTCAGTGTATCTACACCCAATCTAAGAAATAAATTGCAACAACAGCACCAGCAACAACAACAACAGCAACAACAGCAAATACCATCAATCAAAAAATCACTTATAAACTCTGGATTATCACTTATTGCATATGGTGTCAACAGTACTTTAATTAGAGTCCAAGCAAACAAATCAATTGTAAGCTCTAAAGAGGTTGCTAAAGAAATCTATAGAAAAAGAGGTGTTGGCGGTTTCTTCAGAGGTATTGTTTTCTCTGTTTTAGTTGTCCCAGCAGAGACTATCAGATATGCTTTGGTCGACTACACAGCTAGAGGTATATTTTCATTGCTTCGAGTCAAAACAAAAGAATATCTAATAGACCTTGCTCATCATGTCTCAAGAGTAGTATGTCTTTTCCCAATCTATATTGCCTTTGACTACATCTTAATGGCTCCTTTGCAAATGAAAACTATGGATATATTAAAACAAACCATCCTTAAACGTGAAAATGGATACCATAACTTTTTTTATTACCTTGGTCTTTCTATTGCTTCAAAAATTTTAAGGGATACTGTCAATCAAATTGGCAAATATATATACTCTGTTCAACAAAAACATCCAAAGAATGCATCTCTTTATTATTTAGAAATGGCATATAATAACAATATCACCAAAGCACTCTTACACTCTGTTTTATGCTGTCCAATCCTTTGCGTCCGTTCCCAATACCCATATTCAGTAATCAATAGTATTTCAAATGGTATTAAAGCAAAGCCATTGGATTTGAACCCAATTCAAATTGCAGAACAAATTTATAATCAACATGGTTACTCAAAATTCTATAATGGTTTTTGGTTATTGTTTTGTTCAAAATTATTAACAAAAATGGCACTTTTCCCAATTGATTCAATTCATCAAATTGAAACAATTTTTGAATAAATAAATGAATTATTAATAAAATAAAAAAATTAAATTAATAAATAAAAAAAAAGAAATAAATAAAAGAAATAATAATATTAAAAAAAAAAAAAAAAAAAAAAAAAAAAAAATTATAGATAACAAATAAGATATAAATAAATAACCAGATTTAAGAAGATTGTCGATAATTAATTAATAGCAATTATAATAATTATAAAAATTTGACTTAAAATTAAAGTAAATAAAAGAAAAGAGAATCTGTATTAAATTATAAAAATAATTTTTTTGGAAAAAAAAAAAAAAAAAAAAATTGGAAAAAAAAAAAATAAATTAAAGGTTCTTTCAAAAGGAAAAAACCTTTTTAAAAAAAAATTAAATTTTTTTTTTTTTTTTTAAAAAATTAAATTTTTTTTTAAAAATTTTTTTTTTTTTTTTTTTTTTTTTTTTTTTTTTTTTTTTTACTTTTTTTTTAAAAGAATTTAGTATATAAATCTTTTTTTTTTTTTATTATTATTATTTTATCATTTTCAAACTAAATGAATATTAAATAATTAAAGAAATAAAAAATGAATATTGGTAAGTGATAAAATTTAAGAAATCTAAAAAAAAAATAAAAAATATATTAATTTCTTAAATTTCTAATTTTTTTTTTTTTAGGAAGATTTCATATGAATGGCAGAAAAGGATACACTCCAAACAATATGTCTTTGGACGATTTCAATAGAGATCATATACTTCCAGAAAGTCAAAGAGAAGCAATATATAAATCATTAGAAGAGTTAAATGGAAATCATTCTTCAATGAACTCAAACAGAAAATATAACTCCCAAAATCCAAGAGAGTAATATTATATAAATAATTTAAAAAAAAAAAAAACTATTACTAAAGTAGTAATAATTTATATAATTAAATTAAATTTAAATTCCAATCTCTAAAAATAATTATTAAAAATTATTTATTCTTAATTTTGGAATCTTATAAAAAAATAAAATAATTTTATTTTAACTTTAATTTTAGAGTAATAGAGTCTATTTATTTATTATTATTATTATTATTTTCATATTATTTATTTTTTTTAATTGAATTTCGTATTATTATTTGGATTTTATATTATTTTATTTATTATTTATTTGTAATATTCGTATAATTTGTAATTTATTATTTATAATTTGTTTAATCTATATAGTTTTCTGGATTGACATATCTATCTATCCAACCCCAATATAAGCCAAATGATAATGTAGTAAAACCAACAAAACTTAACCATCTCTTGTTTTCTGGATATTTCTTTGTTAAATAAAAACTGTAGATTCCTGAAGCCCCAATAATAGTACCACTAAAACGATGACATGTTGTACATTCTTTACTAAAATCAGTTGGTCCTTTCTTTTTAAATATGAATAAAATTCTTTCATCATCATTTTTTTTAACATTATTTACATTATTATTATTATTAATACTATTATTGTGTAAACCAAATATAATATTATTATTGTTTTCGTTATTTTCGTTATTTGGGTCCATTTTTATTATTAATTAAATTATTCCTAATTTTTAGATTATTAATAAGGTGCGGTTTAAATGATTATGTTGTGTTATTATTTGTTAATAATATTGAAAAAACGAAATAAGGCCCTATAAAGTCGATTTTCGATACGTAATCTACCACCACTTTGTATGAAAAATTAAAAAAATAAAATATTTAAAAAATTAAAAAAAATAAAATTTTTTTTTTTTTTTTTTTTTATAAAAATTTTAATATTTCATTACCCCCCTCGATTAAGTTAATTTTTATTTTAATTAATTCGTGTTTAACAATTTTAAAATTTAAATTATTTTAGTTATCTTAAAAATGGTTTTTTTTTTTTACTTTTAATTTTATAGTTTTATAGTTTTATAGTTTTTATATTTTTATACTATTATTTATTATTTATTTATTTTATTCATTTATTTATTTATTTATATTATAGATATTAAATGTAAAATAAAACAAATCAAATATAACAACTTTAAAAAAAAAACAAAAAAATTAAAATGAATAATTTTTTTCATTTTAAAAAAACCAAATTATTATTTTTAATAGTATTAATTTTATTTTTAAATAATAATGTTGTCTATTCAAACCCAGAATCAGCAAACACATTAAACAATGTTGTAAACAATATAGATTATAATCAAGAGGCACCACAAATAAATAATAATAATAACAATAACAATATTGACAATAAAAGAAACTCAATAGAATATATTATAAATCATTATAAAAACAAATATGAAGGTTTATTAAATAAAGTATTGGATAAGAATGGTGTAGTTTTTGATAATAATGGAAATAATTTAAATTTTTATAAAAACAATCACATCAATCTATGGGTTTATTTTAAAAACAAAGATATTGAAAATAAAAACCCATCCGACTTATTAAACTACATCAATGACAAATCAAAACAAAGAAGATCTTTAAGAGGTTATAATTTAAATAATAATTTAAATTCAAATAAACAAGATCAAAACCAACAGAAAGAAAAATCATTGTACAACGAATTAGATTATCCAATTAATGAAAATTATGTTAATAATATTTTAAACTCTATTGGAAATTCAACTTTAGCAACAATAAAGCATAGATTCTCATCCAACTGGCTAAATGCCGCTTCGTTTAATATAAGAATTAATGAAGAAAAAGTGTTAGAACATGCTTCCGATTGTCCTCAAAAATTAAAAGAAACCCTTACCAATATTTTAAAATTAGACTATGTTGACAGAATTGAAATTGTAAACAACTTTAACCAACCAAACAAAAGAGTTATCGATAGTATCCAAGCTGAAGATGCCTCTGAACTAATAGACTATGGTGAAAACACAATTGTAAATGGTGTTGACTATGGAAAGTCTTTTTATCAATTAAATCAAATTAAAATTGTTGATGTAAGATCGTAATATCATTATATATTTAAACAAAATTCACTATACTAATTAAAAACTGTTTTAGGCTCATAAATTAGGTTACAAGGGTAAAGGTGTTACAATTATGATTGCTGATACTGGTTTTATGAAAAGTCACGAAGCATTAAAGAACATCAAAATTAAAAAAGAAAGAGATTTTATAGAAAATGATGATAATACTGAAGGTAGTGACTTGGCTCAAGAAAGTCATGGTACATTTGTGCTATCACAAATCGGTTCAAATATACCAGGAAAAATAATGGGTGCCGCACCAGAGGCTGAATTTCTATTAGCTAAAACTGAAATAGTTGCAACCGAAACCTCTGTAGAAGAAGATTATTTAATAAAAGCTATCGAATGGGGTGAATCTGAAGGAGCTGATGTTGTTTCAATTTCTTTATCCTACTCAAGCTATTATGAATATTGGGAACGTGATGGTTCATCTCCATTATCAAAAGCCATTGATATTGCCTCAACTAAAGGTATTGTAGTAGTTATTGCTAGTGGAAATGACGGTGAAAAAGGTATTGGTCCACCAGGTGATAGTAATTTAGCTGTAACCGTTGGTGCGGTAGATAATTTTGGTGATGTTGCTATATTTAGTTCAGCAGGTCCAACATCAGATGGTAGATTAAAACCAGAAGTCGTTGCAAGAGGTGTTTTATGTTATGGTGCTAGCGATCAATCAGTGGATACCTATAAATATCAAAGTGGTACTAGTCACTCTGCCCCCTTAGTAGCCGGTTCTGTTGCTTTATTATTAGAAGCCCATCCTACATGGAATCCAAAACAAATTAAAGAAGCATTAATAAAAACTTCAAGTCAATTCAAAGCACCAGACAACTATAAAGGCTTTGGTATAATTAATATAGTCGATGCAATAAATAGCAACCCATCAGGATCAAGTTTAAAAAACAATGATAAATCTAAAGATAGCCAAAGCTGCGATGAAAATTGTGATGGTATTTGCATAAGTAACCAATGTCTGTGTTCCCATAAGTCCCAATTCTCTAGTAATATATGTTCAAAAAAAATTAGATGTGGCTATATGTGTCGTTATAATAATGGTAAATGTAGCGAATATGACTGTTTCAGATGTGTTGATCCAAATGAATCTGAAAAATCAAATGGAAGAACCAAATGTGACAACAATGACCAAGAAACCCAAGTTCTAGGCAACAGTAGCCCAATCCTTAAATTCAACTCTCTAATTTTAATTTTAATTTTAATTAAACTTTTATTATAGTTTATTTTTACAAAAAAAAAAAAAAAAATAAAAAACATTTAATAAAAAAAAAAAGAAACTATTCAAATAATAAAAATAATAATATTATTTAAAAAAAAAGAAAATATATAATTAAGTTTTTTAATATATGAGTTTTATTACTTTATTTTTATTTTATATAAATGAACAACAACTTTACAAAAAAAAAAAAACAATTGTATTTTATGTGATACGTAATTGTTTTTTGAAAGTGAATATTTAAAATTCTTTATTGTTTAACATTCAAAGACACTATTTCCCATAGCAAGGTAAAATTCTCTATATGTAACACGCCCATTAATTGGCATTTCAACTTGGAACTGTCTTGAAAAATATGTGAAATAACCTTCTAATGCAATTGTAAATAATGAAAGGAAGATTCCAAACCCTTTTAAATATGATAAATGTGTGAATAAATAAATAACTCTAAATAAAATATCAACAATTAAAAATCCAATAAACTATAAAAAAATATTAGTATTATAAAATAAAGATGAAATTTATAAATTAAAACTAACAATTGTAAATGGATATTTTAATAAATTATGTGCTGAATAAATTCCGAGTGGACATGCTAAAAAACCAAAACTAAATATTAACCACCATGCTTGGGTAAAGTATGTCATAAATGAAAAACTCTGTATTAAAATAAAAACATTAGTAAACCATACATTTATATATTTTATTTAAAAAAAAATCTGATCGATAATTACCATTAATAAAAAAGCACAAACTTTAATTATATTTGCATTTTTTCTTAAATTTGAATATATTGTATAATCTTGACCGGTATTTACAGTATTTGGCAAATCGTATTCATCACCAAAATCATTTTGGTTTTCAATATCATCATTAATGCTAAATGTATTATCATTGTTATTATTATTGTTATTACCGTTGTTATTAAAATTGAAATTAATTGATTTATTTTTATTTGCTGTAGTATCTATCTGTTCATCACTATTGCTTCTATTTGGGTTTTTTGGCATATTACCTAAAATTGTATCAACATTATTTAAAACAAACCCTGTATTATTATTATTGTTGTTGTTGCCAATTTGCTTTTGAACGTTTTTTAATTGATTTGCAAAATCAAAATCATCATTATTTGGTTCTTGGTTGGTGTTATTATTTATATTTGTGTTATTGTTATTGTAGTTATTATTATGGCCTGGTGAAGTTGTGGTTGTAGTAGTGGTTGTAGTATTATTATTATTATTATCATTATTATTATTGTTACCATTATTTATTTCATTGTTAAAGTTTTTATTGAAATCAATATCATTGAATTCATTTCCCCTGGTAGCTCCTAATGAAGCTCTTTCATTATTAGCCCCCTCATAATCTTTGAAATCATTACTATTATTTGTCATTTCTTAGTTTTTTTTTTTAATCTATTACCCTTTTTTAATATATGAGAAAGTGTACATAGAAATAGTTTTATTCTGTGTGTATTTTAATAATAATTAATATTTTAAAATATAAATGTGTGTGTGAAAAAAAAAAAAAAAGAATTATAATTTTTTTGTTTTTTAATTTATTTTTTTTAAATTATTTATTTATTTTTTATTTTATTTTTTTTTAATTTTTTTTTAATTTTTTTTTTTTTCTAAATTTTTTAAAAATTTTGGATAATAATTTTTTTTTTTTTCTTTTTTTCTTTTCTTTGTATTCTGTTCAAAGGATGCAAAACGATTGGTAATGACCGATAAGGGAATCAATTTTTTGCTGTCCTAAATACAAACCCTAAAAGTGATAAACGGGATTTATCTACTTTTAGAATTTTTGCATGTTTTCAATATATACTCGTAACTCGAATGAAAAATTTAACCAAAGTCTACTTTCACTTTCGTTTTATTTTTTGTTTGGATTACACCATATTGAAAACATATCCATTAAAACTAAAGAAAAAAAAAAAAAAAAATTAAGAAAAAAAACTAACCCACCCTTTGTGATTAAAGGGGGGATTAGTTTTTTTTCTTAATTTTTTTACATATTCATTGATTGCCAGTCAATGGTGTTAGTAATATTACAAACACCATTGACCAACAATCGATGAATATTTACCGAATATAATACATCTCTATAGAAACTGGAGTTTGCGAACAGAAAAATACGGGCTACTCATGAAAATTCTTCAATTCAAAATGGTTTCTAACTGAAAATAAAAAATAAAAAAAAAATAAAAAATTAAATAAAAGAGAATTTATTATTTATTTATTTTTATTATCTATTTTTATCTTTTTCAATTATTTCGAAAAAATATTAGTTTTTAGATAAGAACTTCTTGGTGAAATAAAAAAAAGATAACCAAAACGATAATTTTCGAAATTTTTTATAATTGTTTTAAATCTATTATAATTAATTTATTTGGTTTATAGAAATATTGATTGGTCTAATTGTGCCTGGATCTTTTTTACCATTTAATGGAGGGTGAGGTTTTTCATAGTCTTTGATTGCTCCAATAGTTGATTTAAATTTATAAATTGTTGCTGTTGTTGTTTTGATGGTGAATGAACATTAAAGTTTAATGGACTTCTTGAAGTGGTGAGTTTTGATATTCCCTAATTTGATCAAAAATTGCGAAAGCTTCAGTGTCTTTTACCTTCTCTTCCTAAAACTATTTTATTTCTATCAAAGTTGCTTGGCCAGAGCGAGTTAATGATATTCATAAAATAGTTGATTAGATTGATGGTGGTTCTACACTACCTGATTCATATTCTACATTATTTGAGGTTTATAGAACCCACACGATTTACGAAACTTCCATATATAAATTATTCCTTAGTTCCACTTGATGAAAAATGATTTGCATTACTCTACCACATAATGAAATAAACTACACAAATTTTAAAGAACAGCTACAACTTGGTGAAACAGATTCCACTCTAATATTTGATGACAGGCTTTACATTACGACCACAGATACTAAAAATACAACGGATATTGCACAACTTGACAAAGTAGGTCCCAAATTATTTGATGAGTTCAGAATATACACCACTTGACACAACTTTATTAAAAACAGAGGTTGATGAAACATGATTCTACACTATCGGATACAATATACTCTACTACTTTGTCCAGAGATTATGCACAGCTTGATAAAGCAGATTCGGTATTTATACCTTTGACCACCTGGGGTAAAAGATTCTTAAGCACTACTTGATACAATGAGTTCTACACTTGATGCAACTGATTCTAAGCTACTAATATATCATACATTTCTTGAATCAGGCTCTGTATCATTACCACTTAATGAAAAAGGTTACCATACTTGATCTGCACTAAATATAATAAAAATTAATTTGTGTTAGTATTGTGTTCATCTATTCCTTAAATAGATTTGTTATTTTTGTTTTAAAATAATGTGCTTATTTACTTACTTGAAGGCTTTTTAAAACTATTATTATTGACCTATCATTTTTTTTGAAATATTTATGTATTTTTTGTGTGTTGCAAAAATTAAAATGAAAAAATTAAAATTTTTTTAAAATTTAAAAAAAGCTGGTGTGAGATTATTGGCAAAATAAATCGACTATACTGCATTGTTATTATGTTGAGTGTGATTATATATTACAACCTTGATACAACTAAAAATAATTAAATAAAACAAAAAATAAAATTAAAAGATTATTAATATATAGTTTAATATTAAATAAAAATATAAATAAAGATAACATACCCAAATTATGATTTCTACTATGAAGGAAATTCAACAGAGCGACAGCTACCAATAAATTCACTAACTACACAGCTATTGAGATACTACTACTTAAAATATTGTTTGGACCACCATTTGACCGATTATTTGACCCACCAATTGAACCACTACTTGACTACCATTTGACCGGATTCTTGAACCAACATTTGAATTACAATGAAAATTACCACCTGAGCTACTACTTGACTACCATTTGACCCATTATTTGAATCAACCTTTGAAATACAATGAAAATTACCACATGGACCACTACTTTACCCATTTGACAGAATTATTTTAACCAACATTTGAATTACGATGTAAACAACCACATGAACCACTACTTAACCAGTTACTTGAACCAACATTTAAAATACCACGCCAATTAACACATGCATCTCTAGTTGACCGGTTACTTGAACCAACATTTGAATTACGATGTGAAATACCACTTGGGCCACTACTTGCCTGATTACTTGGACTATTTGAACCACTATTTGAACCACACTTTACAGATTATTTGAATCACCATTTGGACCTTATATTGAATTTGCTATAAGTTTTTAGATACGTTTGGACAATTGTTTCAGATGCTGCTTATAATTTTTCCAGATGACTAAAGATGATTATTAATATATGTTTTAAATTAATTTTTAAAAATAATATTTTTTTACATACCATTTTCTGTCTATAAATTATTGATTAGGTGTACTAATACCGAAATTTATTAGACCAATGCCAAAACATGCTATGACAATAGCGAAATCTATTTTTATTAAAAAAAAAAATTAATAAATTATAAAAAAATTATATAATTTTTATAAAAAATATAAACAATAAAAAAAAATAGAAAATATAATTATTTACCTTAAATGTTTTAAATATTACCTTGAATTATTTTATATTTTGGACCATATTGTTATCTATACTATTTGACGTAAAGAACCATAATGTTGCTCTGCATGGTGAGATAAAAAGATTACTCTATTTTTTTCAATTGATTTTGGGATAATTTCAATGAAAGAGCTGCTATCGGATTCAACGGATGAAATTATGGTGATTTGAGATTTGAAAATCTCAGCAGCGGCGAGTAATGTTAAGTGGTCTCCCCATGTACCTCTTCTTGCCATTTGGTTGCAATACTTATTCCAATTAGTAGTAACGGCAAATTGGGATAATTTTGCACCATTTGAAAGGACGAGGTTTTTATTTTTAATGAGCCATGTAGCAATAGCTCTTCTGATTTCGAAACTATGGTTCAAATCGCCATAAATTTGGTCAGACAAGGCATGCATCTGACAATTGCCATCACCTGGGATGTCCCTATTGTTCTCTAAACTATAGAGCTCCAAACGTTCATTTAAACGTTGTATAGCTTCGTCTGCAGGTGGTGGTTGTGGAGTATTGACTGCCCTTAAGTCAATATCCATAGCTTCATAATATTGAACTTTATGATCAATAGAATGTGTGCTTGGTGGTGATTGTGATTGTTGTTGTTGTTGTGGTTGTTGTTGTTGTGGTTGTTGTTGTTGTGGTTCTTGATGTTGTTCTTCGTAATCACGAATATTTTGTAATAATTTTTTATAATGTGGGGTTGATGTGGTGTGTTTTTGTTGTGGTTGTTGATTTTGGAGTGAGGGTGGATGTGATTGTTGGAGTTGGTGTTGGTGTGGTTGCTGGTATGGGTTTGGATCAGGGTGTGCTTGTTGGTTGTTTATTGTTGGTTGTTGGTTTTGTTGTGATGGTTGTGGTTGTTGGTTGTTGATTGTTGATTGTTGGTGTTGGTGTGGTTGCTGGTATGGGTTTGGGTGTGGGTGTGCCTGTTGGTTGATTGTAGGTTGTTGGATTGGTAGTGATTGTTGGATTGGTAGTGATTGTGGTTGAGTATTTTGTTGTGGTGGGTTATTTTGTTGTGGTGGGTTATTTTTTTTATGGAACTCTTTATAAAATTCGTCATCGTAGAAAAAGTCTTGGTCGTTCTCGGTTCCATCGGCGTAGTAGTATTTGGTGGTGTTATTTCTGGTTTTTTTAAAAAACCAATAAAAAATGAACAAAACAAAAAAAATAATTACAATAAAATACATTTTTTATATATTTATAAAAAATAAAATATTATTATTTAAAAATTAAAATAAAAACAAATAACTGTTATTATTAATTTGATGATGAATATATATATATTTTTTTTTTTTTTTAAATGTTATATACAAATAAAAAATAATTATTTACGAAAAATAAAAAATAAAAAATAATATAATAAAATATTGATTATGCTATGAGTGAAGTTGGGTGAAATATATAAAAAAATAGTGTGGTTAAAGCTATTATTTTTAATTAAAAAAAAAAAAAAAAATTTATTACTAATTTTTTTTTTTAAAAAATTAAATTATAAAAAAAATAAAAAAATATAATAAATTAAAAAAACAATATATTAAATAAAAAAAAAATAAAATAAAAATATATAAATTTGAAAAAAATCATATAAATTGCGAACTTAACTTTTATATAGATTACCTTATAATCAGCAAAATATAGTAAAATATTCATTTTTATAAATAATTTTCAAATTTTATGAAATGGAGAATTGGACCGCATTAATCAAAAAAAAAAAATTTCAATAATATTAGTAACTGTAATAATATAAAATTAGAAAAATAAAATTATATAATTCTTTAATATAGAAATCATATCCTATAGTATTTAATAAATAAAATAAAAAAATAAAAAAACAAAAATTTTATGTGTCGATTATAAATTAGGTTTACCCCAAATTGGTAATTTTGCAAATTTTATTGCCATCAAAGCTTCAAGTTCCCTGTTTATATCTCACATTTAATTTGGTATGTCACAGATTTTTGCAAATAAATAATTTTTAAGAAACTCTAGACAATTGTTAAACTCTAGATTAATAAAGAGCATAAAAAAAATAATAATAAAGGCTTATTTAAAAAAAGTTTATTTACACTTATTTTATTTATTTTTTATTTATTTAATCTTTTATTTTTTCTTATATTTATTTATTTTTATTAAATAGTTTATTTATTTTTTTTATGAAATGTTTTAAATCTATATTATAATTAATTTATTTGGTTTATAGAAATATTGATTGGTCTAATTGTGCCTGGATCTTTTTTACCATTTAATGGAGGGTGAGGTTTTTCATAGTCTTTGATTGCTCCAATAGTTGATTTAAATTTATAAATTGTTGCTGTTGTTGTTTTGATGGTGAATGAACATTAAAGTTTAATGGACTTCTTGAAGTGGTGAGTTTTGATATTCCCTAATTTGATCAAAAATTGCGAAAGCTTCAGTGTCTTTTACCTTCTCTTCCTAAAACTATTTTATTTCTATCAAAGTTGCTTGGCCAGAGCGAGTTAATGATATTCATAAAATAGTTGATTAGATTGATGGTGGTTCTACACTACCTGATTCATATTCTACATTATTTGAGGTTTATAGAACCCACACGATTTACGAAACTTCCATATATAAATTATTCCTTAGTTCCACTTGATGAAAAATGATCTGCATTACTCTACCACATAATGAAATAAACTACACAAATTTTAAAGAACAGCTACAACTTGGTGCAACAGATTCCACTCTAATATTTGATTACAGGCTTTACATTACGACCACAGATACTAAAAATACAACGGATATTGCACAACTTGACAAAGTAGGTCCCAAATTATTTGATGAGTTCGGAATATATACCACTTGACACAACTTTATTAAAAACAGAGGTTGATGAAACATGATTCTACACTATCGGATACAATAGACTCTATTACTTTGTCCCGAGATTATGCACAGCTTGATGAAGCAGATTCGGTACTTATACCTTTGACCACCTGGGGTAAAAGATTCTTAAGCACTACTTGATACAATGAGTTCTACACTTGATGCAACTGATTCTAAGCTACTAATATATCATACATTTCTTGAATCAGGCTCTGTATCATTACCACTTAATGAAAAAGGTTACCATACTTGATCTGCACTAAATATAATAAAAATTGATTTGTGTTAGTATTGTGTTCATCTATTCCTTAAATAGATTTGTTATTTTTGTTTTAAAATAATGTGCTTATTTACTTACTTGAAGGCTTTTTAAAACTATTATTATTGACCGATCATTTTTTTTGAAATATTTATGTATTTTTTGTGTGTTGCAAAAATTAAAATGAAAAAATTAAAATTTTTTAAAATTTAAAAAAAGCTGGTGTGAGATTATTGGCAAAATAAATCGACTATGCTGCATTGTTATTATGTTGAGTGTGATTATATATTACAACCTTGATACAACTAAAAATAATTAAATAAAACAAAAAATAAAATTAAAAGATTATTAATATATGGTTTAATATTAAATAAAAATATAAATAAAGATAACATACCCAAATTATGATTTCTACTATGAAGGAAATTCAACAGGGCGACAGCTACCAATAAATTCACTAACTACACAGCTATTGAGATACTACTACTTAAAATATTGTTTGGACCACCATTTGACCGATTATTTGACCCACCAATTGAACCACTACTTAACTACCATTTGACCGGATTCTTGAACCAACATTTGAATTACAATGAAAATTACCACCTTAGCTACTACTTGACTACCATTTGACCCATTATTTGAATCAACCTTTGAAATACAATGAAAATTACCACATGGACCACTAATTTACCCATTTGACAGAATTATTTTAACCAACGTTTGAATTACGATGTAAACAACCACATGAACCACTACTTAACCAGTTACTTGAACCAACATTTAAAATACCACGCCAATTAACACATGCATCTCTAGTTGACCGGTTACTTGAACCAACATTTGTATTACGATGTGAAATACCACTTGGGCCACTACTTGCCTGATTACTTGGACTATTTGAACCACTATTTGAACCACACCTTACAGATTATTTGAATCACCATTTGGACCTTATATTGAATTTGCTATAAGTTTTTAGATACGTTTGGACAATTGTTTCAGATGCTGCTTATAAATTTTCCAGATGACTAAAGATGATTATTAATATATGTTTTAAATTAATTTTTAAAAATAATTTTTTTTACATACCATTTTCTGTCTATAAATTATTGATTAGGTGTACTAATACCGAAATTTATTAGACCAATGCCAAAACATGCTATGACAATAGCGAAATCTATTTTTATTAAAAAAAAAAATTAATAAATTATAAAAAAATTATAAACAATAAAAAAAAAATAGAAAATATAATTATTTACCTTAAATGTTTTAAAATATTACCTTGAATTATTTTATATTTTGGACCATATTTTTATCTATACTATTTGACGTAAAGAACCATAATGTTGCTCTGCATGGTGAGATAAAAAGATAACTCTATTTTTTTCAATTGATTTTGGGATAATTTCAATGAAAGAGCTGCTATCGGATTCAACGGATGAAATTACGGTGATTTGAGATTTGAAAATCTCAGCAGCGGCGAGTAATGTTAAGTGGTCTCCCCATGTACCCCTTCTTGCCATTTGGTTGCAATACTTATTCCAATTAGTAGTAACGGCAAATTGGGATAATTTTGCACCATTTGAAAGGACGAGGTTTTTATTTTTAATGAGCCATGTAGCAATAGCTCTTCTGATTTCGAAACTATGGTTCAAATCGCCATAAATTTGGTCAGACAAGGCATGCATCTGACAATTGCCATCACCTGGGATGTCCCTATTGTTCTCTAAACTGTAGAGCTCCAAACGTTCATTTAAACGTTGTATAGCTTCGTCTGCAGGTGGTGGTTGTGGAGTATTGACTGCCCTTAAGTCAATATCCATAGCTTCATAATATTGAACTTTATGATCAATAGAATGTGTTCTTGGTGGTGATTGTGATTCTTGTTGTTGTGGTAGTGGTTGTTGTTGTGGTTGTGGTTCTTGATGTTCGTAATCACGAATATTTTGTAATTTTCTATAATGTGGGGTTGATGTGGTGTGTTCTGGCTGAGGTTGTTGGAGTGGTTTTTGATGTTGGAGTGGTTGTTGGTGTGGGATTGGGGGTGGATGTGATTGTTGGAGTTGGTGTTGGTGTGGTTGCTGGTATGGGTTTGGATCAGGGTGTGCTTGTTGGTTGTTTATTGTTGGTTGTTGGTTTTGTTGTGATGGTTGTGGTTGTTGGTTGTTGTATGTTGATTGTTGGTGTTGGTGTGGTTGCTGGTATGGGTTTGAGTGTGGGTGTGCTTGTTGGTTGTTGATTGTTGGTTGTTGGTTTGGTTGTGATTGTTGGATTGGTAGTGATTGTGGTTGTTTATTTTGTTGTGGTGGGTTATTTTTTTTATGGAACTCTTTATAAAATTCGTCATCGTAGAAAAGGTCTTGGTCGTTCTCGGTTCCATCGGCGTAGTAGTATTTGGTGGTGTTATTTCTGGTTTTTTTAAAAAACCAATAAAAAATGAACAAAACAAAAAAACTAATTACAATAAAATACATTTTTTATATATTTACGAAAAAAATAAAATACTATTATTTAAAAATTAAAATAAAAACAAATAACTATTATTATTAATTTGATGATGAATATATATATATATTTTTTTTTTTTTTTAATATTATATACAAATAAAAAATAATTATTTACAAAAAAAAAAAAAGAAAAAATAATATAATATAATAATGATTATGCTATGAGTGAAGTTGAGCTAATTTTGTAAAAAAAAATAGTGTGTGGTTATGAAAGCTATTATTTTTAATTAAAAAAAAAAAAAAAAAAATTTTAAATTTTAAATACTAATTTTTTTATAAAAAATAAATTAAAAAAACAATATATTAAATAAAAAAAAAACATAAAAATATTTTAAATTTAAAAAAAATCATATAAATTGCGAACTTAAATTTTATATAGATTACCTTATAACTTTCATCTTTATTAGTAATTTCAAATTTTAAAGTAAAAACAGTTTCCCAATTAAAAGAGGTGCTATCTTGTTTTGTAACATTCAGATAAAAATTAATCAACTTTTTTATCAAAAAGAGTATCCCGATGCATTTAATTTTTTGTTTTATTTTTTTTTTTTACAATTTAATACATTTTATATTGATAAAATCACATAATATATAAGAGATAATTAATTAATTTTAATTAAAGAAAATAATAAAATAAAATAAATTTTTTTTTTTTTTTTTTTTCATTTCTTTTTTTTTATATTTATTTCAATCAAAACTTTATAAATTTTTTATATTTTTATTTATTTACACTAATTTTTTAAAAATATAATTATTTTTATTGCAAAATAAATAACAAACATAATAATAATTAATAAAACAATTATATAATAACACAATATGGATAATTCAAAATGATAACATTTTTAAATGACATAGATAAAGCAGAACTCAATCACCCAAATCAAAACAAGTACTAACAGTCATTACTTTAATTCAAACATTTTATGAAATGGGAAATCGGACCGCATTAATCAAAACAATTTTCAATAATATTAATTATATAATATTAGAAATACAATATATAATTCTTTATTATAGAATTCATATCCTAAAAGTATTTAATTAAATAAAATAAAAATATAAAAAAACAATAATTTTAAAATAAAAATATAATTTTACTTTTTTTTCATTTTTTTTTTTTACCTCTTATCTTTTCCTTCATTTTTTTTGAAACTATTCCCTTACTATTTTTTATTTAAAGCATTTTCTTATTTAAAATTAGTTTATAAAAGTATAATGATAATGATAAAAACTATCTTATTCTTTGGATTCACTAATAATTGAATCAAATTCTGAAAACTTTAGGGTTAACTTAACACACCCATCAAGGTCTTTAATCGGTCAACATTAATAACTGTTAGAACCATTACTTATTAACCGGAGTCTATTTGAATAAAATTTATTAGTAATGAAAGCTATGGGTGTAAAAATATTTGGATTCTTTTACATAAACAATGATAAACAAAACAAGCTACCAAATCCTCAGCTGTTGACCTATGTTTAGATTAATAATAATAATAATTTTTCTTTAAATAAACAAAAATTTTGAATTTTTTTATAGCAATTCTTTTTTTTTATTAATTATTATCTTTTTTAATTTTTTTTAATATTAATTATTTTTTATTTGTTTATTTATATTTATATTCTCTGCTAAAACTATCATAAAATGTGAACCAACTGAAAAATCTTTAATAATATGGTCGTTTGGTAAAGTGAAATTTTTAATTTTTTCACCCTTTTGTAAGATTGAAAAGAATAAAGATTTTCCATGACTTCTTTCTAATTGAAAATCTGTTTCGTTTAAAGACCAAACACAAATTTCATTTGGTGTAGATTTAAAAGTAACAGCAGCATGAGTATTTGATAAAGCGAATCTTTCTATACCTTGGTTTTTAAATTCTGGCCAATTAATTAACTCTACCTTATTATCCAAAGTGTTCCATTTGAACAATTTACCACTTTCAGTTAAGGCCATGGAAATACCATCACCCCCGCCAATTTGTTTAATTCTATCGTTGCTCTCTAACTCAATACCTTGAATTCTAATAACCCTATTGCTATTATTTGAGTTGATTTCGTCATATTGGTTTATTAAAGATGTTGGTGATAATAATAAATCCTCAGAGGTTTCATACTTTAATTTTCCATTTCCCCATTGATAAACATTACCACTATCATCTAAACCCAATGAGTGGAAATAACCTGCTTCGATGTCGATTAAATTTAATTCTTTTAATAAATTTGATTCTAATGGTATTTGAACACTATTACTACTATCACTACTATTTTTACTATTATTATTGTTATTGTTATTATTACTTAATTTTATACCCAATTGACCATCATTTGACTTTCCACATGATAATAATTTACCAGAATTTAATAATATCATTGTGTGATATAAACCTGATGAAATTTTCTTTATGCTATTTACTGTTGATTGATCTTTAAACTTAACTATATTTGGAGTTTGAACATTATACAACGAACCAATACCTAGCTGACCACAATGGTTATTACCCCAAGAATATACAATTTGTTTATCTTGTTCTTTTGGATCTTTTAAAAGTACAAATGAGCTCCATCCACCAATTGAATATGATACTAAATTCATATTTGGGAAATTTGATGTTTTTACTGAAAATGGTGTACTCTCTATAAAATTTGGAAATAAACTTGTATCTGAACCATATTTGTGACCAATTTGAAAATTAAAATTAGCACCCCATGTTAATAAATCATTTTTATCTAAAATTAATTATTATAAAAACAATTTGTTAGTTTATTGTCTTATATTTATTTTTGTAATTGTGGTATTTTTGTGCCTACTTGTCATTGCTGCTGAATGTAATAATGTCGATTTAACTGATTTAATGGATGACTCTTGCAATAATTCATTAAAAGTTAATTGGGACTCAGATTTCCAATCACCCAATCCAAGCTGACCTTGATTATTTGTACCAATTGTATAAACTGCTGTTTTTATATCACTACCCTCTAATTTACTCCAACTGAATGCTTGCTGGAGACTACTAATCTTGCCTGATTTCATTGCACTACCTAAAGTTTTGCTTTTTGTATCATTTTTTTTTTTACCAAATAATTTTGAAAAAAATTCTCTCTTTTGAACTTGTTGATATTTCTGTAAATGAATAAAACTATTTACATAACTTTTATTATATTTTAATAAGCTATTATTATTTATTATCAAATTCATTGTAAAAAAATATAAAAAATTAAAAAAAAAAAAATTAAAAAAAAAAAATTAAAAAATTTAAAAAAAAAATTTATGCAAAAGTATAATCAAACGAAATTATAATTATATTTCATGTTTGATTATACTTTTGCATCCATTTAATTTGATTATTAAAAAGCAGGGTAAATCTATTTTAATTTTGACCCATAAAACACAAAAAAAACATCATTAGAAAAAATTTTAAATTTTTATAAGGAAAAAATGATAGAAAATGGGGGTTAAAATTCAAAATTTCATATTATTTAAAATAACAATCAATAAATCAACGGCAAATAAATTAAAAAAAATTAGTAAAAGGAAGAATCATTTTTTGTAAATTTATAAATAAATAAACATTAATTAGGAAATTAAGCCCGAAATAAATATCAATAAAAATCTTCCCCTAAAAAAATGAAAAAAAAAAAAATTAAAAAAAAAAAGTAGAAAAAAAAAAATAAAAAAAAAAATAGTTTTTTGAAAAGTTTTTTTAACTGAGTATTATTTATATTGCCTCGTCAATCATATATTATAAAAATAAATAAAAAGAGATGAATTATAAATTTATTTGTTTTACAATTTTTGTAGCATTAACCATAAGCTATAGCGTTAGCTTTACACCTATCGAATGTGATTTATGTCAATTGGGTATCGATTCATTACACGGCATTGCAATTGCAGATAATTTAACAGAGAGCGATATCTATTTAGCATTACAAAGAATTTGCGACTCTGTTCCAAGCAACTACTCGACTATGTGCAATACTCTTTTAAAATATTCAGGTGAAACTATCATCGACCAAGTATTAAATGGTACTCGTAGTGAAGTCGTTTGTTCTGAACTTACTATTTGCAATTCAAATAATGTCAAATCAAAAGATCAATGCCACTATCAAAGAATTAATAAAATATTACCACCATCTTCAAACTTTAACGATTGCTCTAATAATGAAAATAATAAAGCAGTATGTATTAAACCACCCCCTATTACAAAATATCAACAACAAGAACACTAATATTAACTTTAATACTAATAACCAATATTACTATACTATTAATCAGTGCCAAAAAGTCGAAAGATATATCGAACATGTAAATAGAATTGCAATCATCCAAAAAGAAAACAATTTTGTTTGCTAAACCCACAACCCACATTGTCTATTATAACTATTTAGAATAGAAATTCTATTTTTTAAAAATATTAAAATATAAACAAATAAAAGGTTAATCCAACTAATAATAAAACAATCCCATAAACATTATTTTTTTATTTATTAATGGGTGCTAATTACCCACCCATGTACTATTAAAACCAAGCTAATAATTTATATAAACCCTAAACAAAAAAAAAAGCAACCATTTATTAAATAAATTTTTTAAAATAAACAATTGTTTTTTTATTATTTTTTTTCTATTATACAGGTGAATATTGTAATGAAATGCTATTAAGGCTTCCCATTAGTGCTACTCTTTCGTTTTCTTGAGGGGGTATTCTTTTAAATGCTTTTGCAAAAAATATTAAAAAATTTGAAAATAGTGAAAGCACTGCACTAACAACTACTAATATATATGCTACATGTGGACCTTTAAAAAAGTGGTACCCATCTTGACTCCAGTTGTCAAAGAAATCTGTATGATAAAACAATCTAA